GGATCCTGCCTTGGCTCCACGGTCTCCTTCTCTGGACTTTTTCCCTCAGCTCCTCCAGTACCTACCACTGTCCCCACTCCACGCTTCAATCCATTCTTTATCTGCTACCAGGGAAATCTTTAAATACAAACACTGAACATTCATGTTTCCTCCATTAAGGCTTTTTCTAAAACCCAGCTTTAACTTCTCTGCTCTACTCAGGAGCTGGCCCTGGCTTCCTCCTGTCCGCTGAAATGCCTCAGTGGGGCTTGCAGAGTGACTCAAATGATCTTCCATGACCCTTTGAGATTTTAGCTTACCCCATACCAACCAGTTCCTACACCTCACAGTTAGCCATACTAAACAACCTCCCCCCTCCCTGCCACCCGCTCTTGTGTTTCTTTGACTCTGAATAAGCACATGACCACTTTCACACGGAAGAGGAAGGCCTTCTAGGTAATCTTGTTGCCTCCCCCCATCCTTACCCCATGTTTGCCCAGTGATGTAAAATGTAACCCCCTTCTCAAGGCCTTGGGCAGCCTGGTTCCTGCCTGCCCCTCCAACTTCATCTCTTGTCACTCTTCCTCCGACTTGCTGTGTTCTGATTGCACTGGTCTTCTTAACATGCTTAAATATTGGGATAATGCATAAGTTCATAGCGGTTCTGGCCTGCCCATTAGAATGTGAATATCGCGTGGTCATAGTTCATTACATTTGCCAATTGGATTGACTGATGGATCATCAAGGATAAACGTCTTCATCCAAACCCAGTGGTCTTCCTGAACGTTGAGAGTCACCTAGATCAAAGTGGCCCTCTTTGAAAGGACAAAACCACTTTGTTGCTGTGTTTTCCCTGATGGCATTCTCCTTGTACATGGCACAAATGTTTCCAGCCACTTCTGCTGCCTTTACTTCTCTGTTAAACTCAAACAGAAAAATATGTTGGAAGTATTCAGTATTTTTTCCACTTGACGCTCTATCTTCTTTAGCCCACAAATAGTACCAACTTTCTTCAAATTTGCAAAACACAAAGTGTATTCACAAGCACAACATAGTCATGACAAATGACAAACAGCAAACTTCCAACACCACTGTTGCCATTCCAAAAACGCTACAAACTTATGCATCAGCCCAATACATCAAGTGCCTTTGCAGACACTAGTCTCTCACTCCTTGCTTTTTCCATGACTGGCTCCTTTAGGCCTCAGCTTAAACGTTCTGTCTTCAGAAAGACCTTTCCTGACCATCCTAGGTAAGATCAGCTCATCCCAGCCCTGTCTTGACATCTTCTTTGTTTTCTTTATATCACTTCTCAGTCAGTAATATAGTTTTTTCTGTGTCTTTTCCTATTAAGTTCCTTGCAGAGACAGGTCTGCCATGTTCACAACTGTATTCCCAATGCCATTGCATAGTAAATATTTGTTGACAGACTAATTGAAAGCTTTTTCTTTCTTGAGACATTCAAATACTATCTACCAAATCGAGGGCCTGGCACACAGTAGATACTCAATAAATATATCTTCACATACTAGTTCTATTTAATGTTACCTCCTACAGGAAGCTTTCCCTAATTATCACTCTGCCCTTCATTCAAAAATGACCTCACTCACTTTAGAGCTCTCACAGCACCCCATCTTTCTGTCTGGAGGCCCTGAGCACACCGTGCTTATGTCATAGGTCTCTACCTCTACATGTCATCTAATCTCCACCAGGAGCTTTTGAAAATGGGATTCTCAGACTGGATGTGGTGGCTCACTATAATCCCAGCATTTTGGGAGGCCAAGGTGAGAGGATTGCCTGAGCCAACGGGTTCGAGACCAGTCCTGGATAACTTGGTGAGACCTCATCTCTACAATAAATAAAAAAATTAGCCAGGCATGGTGGCACAGGCCTGTAGTTCCAGTTACTTGGAAGGCTGAGGTGGAAGCAGGTTGAGTCTGTGGTGGCTGGGAGCATGCCACTGCCCTCCAGCCTGGGTGACAGAGACTCCAACTCAAAAAAAGAAAAAAAGTGTGATTCTCACCCAATTATTTACATTCATAGTCCTGCTTCAGGCATTACCTGGCATGGGTGTACCATACATGTTTGTTGAATGAAATGAATCAGCCATTGTGATGGTAGGTGGGAAAAGGAAGGAGGCGTGTAAATATCCAATGGTTTCTTATTCAATAAACAATTGACTCTTGCATTTTGGGGAAGGCAACCCCATCCTGCTATCTTGTGTTGGAGGCTGTGTAACTCAAAGAATGTGTTAGCAGTGCAACTTCCCCTGCTTCTTAGCTTCTAAACAAGCAATGAAGTTTTCTCTGGCACTTCTGGGACTTAGTCTTCCTCATGGAAACTACAGAGAAAAATACCAGCTCCTTACAGTAGCAACCCAAGTAATTTACAAATTTGCAGGGAGGGGAAACAAAGAAGAAAGGAAACAAACATTTATTGAATACCTGAACTAGAGGCCTCAGTCTACTTCCTGCCTTCCATGATTACTTATTTCTCACAATAATGCTGAATAAATATAACAATCCCCAAGGTGTTAGTTGTGTTAATAAATGCATTCAAGGTGTCTAAATAAGACATCTTGTATATTGTTGGCCCTCATTAATTGAAGACTAGTATTATTTGCTTTTGTCAGACGGGGAAACTGAGGCCAGGAAAGTACCTATGATAACACGCACCACAGACAGATTCAAGTCCTGACTGAATGAAGTCCCGAGCTCCTTCCCTAAACTTGTGAATATATAGTGTTCACATAAGTGAGTTATTTAGCTGTTCATAGCTTTCTGCTGGCAAAAGTTACAAGTCCTGTTTAACATGATATAATTTTATTATTTTTGTGCCCTATTGTTCCTATTTTTCATTGCCATGAAATCACTTCAAACTTGTGTTCAACACTTATACACTGTTGATGGGAATGTAAATTAGTACACTGTATGGAAAACAGTCTGGAGGTTTCTCAAAGAACTAAAAGTAGATCTATGATCTGGTCTAGCAATCCCATCACTGGGTATCTACCCAAAAGAAAATAAGTCGTTATATTAAAAAAAGACACCTGCACTTGTGTATTTATCACAGCACAATTCACAATTGCAAAGATGTGGAATCAATCTAAGGGCCCATCAACCAATGACTGAATAAAGAAAATGTGGTTTCTACATACCACAGAATACTACACTCAGCCATAAAAAAGAACAAAATGTTCTCACTTATAAGTGGGAGCTAAGCTACGGGTCGGTAGGGGCATACACAGTGGTATAATGGACATTGGAGACTCAGAAGGAGGGGAGGGTAGGAGGAGGTTGAGGGATGAAAAACTGCCTATTGGGTACAATGTACACTGTTCAGTTGACAGGTGCACTGAAAGCCCAGACTTCATCACTACGCAATTCATCTATGTAATCAAAAACCACTTGTGCCCCTAAAGCTATTAAAATAATTTTAAAGAATCTAGCTGGGTGCAGTGGCTCATGCCTGTAATACTAGCATTTTGAGAGGCCGAGGTGAAAGGATTGCTTGAGACCAAGAGTTCGAGACCAGCCTGGGCAATATAGCAAGAACTTGTCTCTACAAAATCAAAAAAATTAGCCAGGCATGGTGGCACATGCCTATAGTTCCAACTACTCAGGAGGCTGAGATGGGAGGATCACCTGAACCCAGGAGGTCGAGGCTGCAGTGAGCTGTGATTATGCCACTGCACTCCAGTCTGGTGACAAGAGTGAGACCTTGACCTCCCCCCCAAAAAACCTATTCAAGAGCCTTATTTAAATTTCATTCAAATTACTTTGTAATATTAAACAGGCCTCTAAGAAAATATATCTTTTCCTGCACAAGTCCTGGTTACTAGTTAACAGGTAACTGGGAACAGGGGTGGGAGAGGTATCTTTTCCTCTCTTCTCCCCAATATTGTGTTCCTTCTGATTGGAGAATGCTTAGGTATGTGACTTGACAAACTCTCTCTGCTCCTGCCTTTGCTGGGCAAAGGAATCAGGGAGGCCTGAAAGAGAAGAGTCGCAGGCAACACTGGGCTCACAACTGGTCAGGAGCACCAGAGGGATAGAGGGCCCCCTTTAATAACCTCCAATAGCCCTACGTGAGTAACTAAATCACTTTTGGCCTGGACAGAGAAGCCAGGGGAAGAGGCATCCCATGGGAGTCTTGAAATCTGTTTCCCTGGGGTCTGAAAACAAAATGCAGGGGAGGATTTCAGACTAGGAAAGGCATCCATAGAAGCTGAGGGTTACTACTAACATTTATTGAGTATTTATTAGATTTCCATTCCATAAAGTGAGCACTATTCGTTTCCCAATTTGCAGAAGAGAAAATCAAAGCACTGAAAGGTTAAGTAGCTTGTCCAAGATCCACCAAGATTAACTGGGATGAGAAAGCTACCCAACATATTTCCATTGCTCTAGTATTATTCTTTAAAAGGAAAATCTAATTCAAGCCTCCAGTGTCTGTTTCTATTTTAAGTATATAAAAAGACAATTAATTTCAGATAAAGCGCAGAGCACACCTGCATGTAGGTGGGCTTGCGACTAAACGATTTACTGCCACCTGATGGCAAACTATGCTTGCTTCAGCAAGGCAGCCAAAGATACAGGCCTCCCGGTGCAAGTGCCACACACTATAACTTGTGAAGGGAGACGATCAAATATCACATGTATTCACTCCTATTTATAACGGTTATTGCCAAAGCACTGTGATGTGGAAAGTCAAGACTGTTTTTCAATTACTCCCATTTTCCCCTTCATCCCCGTCTTCTTGGGACAAAGTCCGTAACTTTCTTTTGCTTTTATCCCCTGGGTATGATATACACCTTCCTGATGGTAATCTACTTATCTGTACCCCACCACCCCAGGGAGTCTGTAAGCATCCTGATCAGGGGCAGGGACTTATCTTACTCATCTGTAAATCTCAAGCTCCTAGTACAAGACCTGGCACAAAGAAGTATCCAGTGAATGTTTGTTGAATGAATATAGGTGAATGCTTTTGAACCAAAATGATCATCACTCTATTTCTCAGGCCAAGATTAAGCAGCAATTTATTTGAATACTCTATATAGTAAACATTTGAAAGGGGTGGGCAGGGGATTGGAAGGGGTTTCTCAGGGAAGTGTCCAAGGCAGGGCAGGACAGGGGACCCCTGGGTAGTTGACCTGCTCACAGGGCCATGGATGCTCGGAATTTCTGGGTCAAACAGAATACGGCAGCTGTAAGGGCCGTGCACTGACGGGCCAAGAGTTTCACACTCAGGTCATGATAGCCTCTCTCGCAGGTCAATTTAGCAGCCTCTACAAACTGGTGGTAGGTGTACACAACGTCCCTCAGGTTCCCAGCTGCTTCCCTGTGCCGGGCAGAGCAGCGGGTGCAATCCGTGAACTGGAAGCACAGGCCTGCCAGCTGGACCAGGTGCTGGAAGGTATCCCGCACAGCCCCCTGCATCTCTTCAGGGGACTGATCCATTCTGATCACATGCTGACAGCTTGATAGGAGCTTTTGGGAGCCCATGCAGAGCCGGCTCCGGCTTTCAGAAAAGTGCCACGTGCACTTCTCTGGGGGATGTTTGTTTCCAACCCCCCAGGAAGCTTCTAAAATGTCTTGTAGTTCCAGCAAGCTCTCCATAAGTTGAATGAAACCCTCGGGGGTGTTGGTAGGGGTGGCTTTCAGTTGTCTCAGCACCCTGGAGCAGTACTCTGGCCAGATGTGATTTTTCCTTGACAGGGGTGCAGCGCTGCAACTGTGGGCTCGGGCAGGCCTCCAGGGCAGAACCACCAGGCTTCCTGCAGAAGGCGGTGAGGTGAGGGGGACTGTGGGGCGTGCTTCCAAGCCCCTGTCTTCTTCCTCTGTTTCCAGTTGGGGGGCTCGGAAGCATGTGGCATAGGAGAACTGACAGCTGCACTGCTCCATCCCAATCCAGGGGGTCCCGGTCTCATTCACACCTGCAAAACCCAAAGACGTGGCCATCCTGAGACTGGTAGAAACTTTAGGATGGCTTTCTGGGGCAAAGCACAGGAAAGACTTCTCAGTGGGAAGGCAGAGGCCAGACCTGTCCTCTTTGCTTTCTGACAGTGAGCAATGGTTTGAAGCTTCCAAGTGAGACTCCTCTTGTGGACATGGTAGTGGTTTTGGCAGAGAAGGCTCTGGATTAAAACAGACCCCCTGAGGGGTGTCCTGAGGGGCTAGATCTTCTCCTATCGCATGGTTAAGTGGCTCTGACTTGACCCCCTCTGGAGGGAAGGCTGATGAAATGGTCTGATTCCCAAGTAAGACATTAGGGTATAAATCCAACTCTTCCAATAGTTTTTGTTCTCCGGGCTGGCTGGCTTGGTCTGGGGTTTCTCTGCTCTGTCCTTGAGAGTCTTTGGGGGGATGTGGTGGGATCTTCTCAGTCCCTGTTAAAGAAGCATCCAGGGACAGGGAGGTTGTTATTTTACCAGCTGGAGTACTACCATCAAAAGCCTGTGAAACAGCATTTGACACGTCACCCTTGGGTTCATCTGAGTCCCTCCTAGATTCCTCCTGAAATAAGGTGGCGCCATTTTTGTGTGTAACTTCTCTGTCACTTTCCAAAGATACTTGTCCTTGTTGCTCTTCCTTTACTGGGACAGAAGCCAGCTTCTCTCCTGAATTTATTCCACATTCCTCACTTCTAGGCTCATCTCCAGGAGACAACAAAGGCTCTGTGCATTTGGGGGTAGTTTCTTGTATTTGATTCGCACAAAACGATCCAAATCCCATTTCCAGTTCGACTCCTCCTAGCTCTAGTGTGTCTCCTTGAGAGGCATTATGTAGCCGTGGGCTGATGGCCAGGCAGACTCTGTCTGGATGAAGGTCACTACTGGAGAGGGAGAAGAAGCTGTCTCCACATTCTATGGCAAGTTCTCTGGGGGCAACACCATCCTGAGGTGGAGAAAAAATCTGAGGAGGCCTGGCCTGAGCAGTATCTGGGCCAGATGAACCCACATTGGAGCAGTGAGGAGTGCTTGCCGAGGAAGTGGCATCCATAGCAATCAAAGGGATGACCCCAGAGTTCTCTTTATTGCTGGGGTCAATCCGGAGGCGAATGGCAGAAATAGAAGACACTCGTGAGTCAATAACAGACTTGGTCTCCATGGTCTCAGGCTCCATCTCCATGACCCTAGAGGCCGGGTTTGTGCCCTTGGCTTCCCTCAAGGGAGCCAGCAGCCCCAGGGCCTTGGTCTCCAGGAGGCCAGGCTCACCCTGCATGTCCTGCAAAGAGGACACAGTTGGGGAGGGCGCCCCAAGGGCCAGGTATATCTCTCTGTCATAGTAGCACACGTCATCTATGCTCTCCAGGGAGGCTGATGGCACCAGGGGAAACGAGACCTGAGAGGTGTAGTCGGTCTGCAGGAAAGACCTTCTCTTCCTCAGGGTCTTGGCATACTTCTTCACCACTCCCCTTCGGCTCGGCTCTCTTCCATCGGGCCCAGGATGCAGGCTGTTCTCAGGGCTGCAGGAGCTAACCTTACTCCGTAAGCTTGTGGCACTGGTTTCTGCAGCAGAAACAGCTCTGGGCCCTGAAAGTCAAGAAAGGAGAAGCACATAAAAAAGCAGAAAAACAAAGTGGTTTATAGAGCTTAGGTACAGACCTTAGGCTCGCCTGGGTTCAAATCATGGCTGGGCTGTGTAATCTTGGGCAAGTTATATTTTGCTCTCCTCAATTTCCTCATCTGAAAGATGGGGTTAATAATGGTGACACATATTTTTGGTTGCCCAAGATCCATTTCTTTGTCTTTTGGTCACAATACTACAACTTCCATTTAGGGAATAATGTCTCTCCAATGGTTACAGTCTGCCGGAACTATAAATGAAGGTGTCCTGTCCACAGCCAAATGATCAGATTTATGACCCAGCCAGTCAGTTACAAAGTCCCCAGAATTTCAAACTCTAACGTATTGATTTAAAAGAATAATGGGCTGGGTGCAGGGGCTCACACCTGTAATCCCAGCACTTTGGGAGGCTGAGCCAGGAGAATCACTTGAAACCAGGTGTTCGAGACCAACCTAGGCAACATCACGAGACCTTGTCTCTACAAAAACTAAAAAAGTTAGCTAGGTATAGTGGCATATACCTGTATTCCCAGCTACTCAGGAGGCTGAGGTGGGAGGATCACCTGAGCCCAGCAGGTTGAGGCTGTGGTAGCCACGGCTGTGCCACTGAACTCCAGCCTGGGCGACAAAGTAAGACCCCAACTCAAAAAATAAAATAAAGTAAAATAAAAATAATAATAGAGCCCATTCTTCCAGCCACAATATCCTGAGACTATAGATAAGGAACCTGGCTACTCAGACTCCTGGCCTGGTTGCTGTCTGTTTCTAAACCCAGTTCTTCAGGCTTGCCAGCAATTCTATATGTTGTCTTATGTCCTAACACTTTTCTTTGTGCTTGCATTAACCCAAATCCATTACTACCACTGATTTCAGGCAGTGCTCCCACACAAGTTAAATGAATTAGTGCATTTTTCTAAAGTGCCTAGCACAGGCCTGTGCCTGACAGGTATTTGGCTAAAAGGGAGTTGCTGTTGTTATTGTTATCATTGTCACTGCATCTGAGCATCCTGAGGGAGCTTTCTTTAGACAAAAATGGGCCACAACTCTCAGTCACAGGGGTGAAGTTTTTTGTGCATGCTGGGAGGGGCTTTCTGAGAAAAGAAGCACCATTGTGAAGAAGTCATGGGAATCAGACAGAAGGAATTAGGATGAGAGCACTTGAGAACCAGAGATCCCATGTACACAGACCAGTCATTTCCAACTGGCTGGACACTGCTGGAAATCTTATCAAAGCCTAGGCTGCACTATTCACAATAGCAAAAACATGGAACTAACCCATGGTTGGACTATACACAATGGACTATTACGCAGCCATAAAGAACAAAATCATGTGCTTTGTGGCAACATGAACTCAGCTGGAGACCATCATTCTAAGTGAACTATCACAGAAACAAATAACTGAATCCCACATGTTCTCACTCATAGCCAGGCCCTGATCACTATCCACATGAGCACAAAGGTAGGAACAGACACTGGCACTGCTGAAGGAAGGAGGAAGGGAAGATGGATAAAGAGCACACAGTCACTGGGCACCAGGTCCACTACCAGGGGAAGAGAGGGCTTGCTAGAAGCCCAGACCTCACCTGCGTGCAATTGACTTAGGTAGTAAATACTCACAGGTACCCCACAACTCTAAAATAAAATAAAATAAAATATTTTTTAAAATCCTAGGCTGCTCCCCAGACCTCCTACATCAGAACTTCTGAGGCTGGGACAGAGGAATCTACAGTTTTTAAACAAGGTGCCTTGGCTGATTCTGATGCCCAGCCCTGTTTGGGAGCTGCCACCCTAGGCTACCAACAGCCACAGGCCAATGAGGTTTAAGGGCTCTTTAAGACAGGAGACAGACCAAAACCCAGGGCTCAGGAGTCCCAGTTCTGGGCTCTCTTCTCACCCTGGAACCTTGTAAAAAAATAGAGTGTCCAGTATGAAACTTATGTCCCTCACTAGACTTCCATAAAGGGGCCCCTGGCTGATGGTCTCTGTCAGACTCCCATCCTGCCCCCAACACAATGGTTTGCCCAGCAGGGCAAGTCTGGGGGCACGGGTTCTTTGGGGAGCAGGATGCAGTCTCACCATGGTTTCTCCTCTCCCTAGGGACACAGTCGGTTCTTGAACTCAGGATAAATGGCGGTGAGTTCATTCATCCATTTAACGACAATTGCCAGGCACTGTGCTGACATTGTGTTATGGTCACCACGTCCCTAGAGTGCTGAGGACACAATGATAAGGCACTACATACTAGGGACATGGTGAGAAACACATAGTCCCAGCTCTCAAAGGAGTTCTCAGGCTGGGGGTGGAGAGAAAAAAACATGAAATCATACAAGTATATATAAGTGCAGGCAGTGCTAGGTGCCAGGCAGGAAAAGCCCCAGGTCTTGCAAGAGCATGTGTGACAGAGATGGGGAGACCTGCTCTGGTCTGGGATGTCTGGGAAACATTCCTCGAGGAAGCAGACTTCCAGCTGGGACTGGATAGATGGATGAATCAGCATCTGCGGACCAGGGTGAGCAATGTTTTGGCCAGAAAGAGCAGCCAGTGCAAAGGCTGGAGGTGGGAGAAGGAAGAGAACATGCCCTGTCCCTACCCCCAACCCTCCCCCCATAAAAAAATGGCAAGGAGGTCTGTGTGGCAGGAATGCAGAGAGAGAGCTCAGGAGGAGGGAGAGAGGTGGGCAGAGGCCATATCACAGAGGGCCTCACAGGGCCCACGCAGGAGCTGGCCTTTCTCCCCAGAGCAGCAGGAAAACACTGGAGGGAATGGAGGAAAGTCAAGGATCAGTAAGCAATGGGAAAAGGCTGGAACACAAATAAAAGGGCCACAGCTCTTCTGGTTCCTAGGTGGTCACCCTCAATATCCATGTGCCATTTTCCCTTCAGAATGCAGTATGTGTGCACATGTGCCCTGCAAGGATCTCGGGTTGACTTGGGAAGTCATTCCATGTGGAAAGACTCTCCATGCTGTGGTGGGGGAATGTATGAGGAACCCAAGAGAAGCACAGCCAAAAGATCCCCTACTTTCTGATGTCAGGGGCCCTTGGACCCCAAAAGACCTTGCAGGGCCACCGATGGCCTGTCAGACAGGTTCTTCCTGCTTCAAGGCTGCATTGAATGAAGCTTCGGGGTTATTAATGACATAGCCACTTCCCTCTGCTGGGCACGCCTGTCAAACTCTTTTCTTTTTTCATTAGTTCTGTCCATCCTTCAAGGCCCAGTCCATTTACCACTTGTTCTGGAAAGCCTTCCCTGATTCCCACTGTTGAATAAAACCCTCCAGTCTTTGCTTGCCCACAGTACTCTGAACCTCTCTTGCAGCCCTGACTTGAAGCCATGATGTTTGTAATTTGGCCAAGGAATCTAGGTCTGCCTCCTCAAAGTGGACAAGGACCCTGTTTTACTCATGTGTCTTCCTCTCAAGCTTGGTGCTGGGTCCTGGGGCCTGGTGGGTATTCAGGAGCTGCCTGATGAGACTGCAGACCTGCTGGGGAGGGCTCACCTGAGAGGGTGTCTGGGGGTGTGAGCTTATCAGCTGCGTCATAGTACTCCTCATCCGAGCTGCCATCCTCAAAGGCCAGTGGTGAGTGCAGGGCCAGGGCTTCCAGTGTGGAGCCCGGCTGTGCCTCAGTCCAGCCCTGCTGACCACAGCCTGACAGGGCTCCCCCCTGCCGGGAAGCTGTACTCTCGGAGCTGTCACTCAGGTGGCTGGCCGGGGAGACGCTGGAGCACAGGCTGTAGTAGTCAGCCCGGCTGCCCTCATATAGCTTTGGGTCCAGCCTGACGGCACTCAGTTCTGGTCCCCAGCTGAGTGTCTCGGAAGCGCCACTCTCGGAAAACTCTGTCTTCTGGCACTGGGGGTTGGCTCTCTGGGCCAGGTCCAGGAGACAGAGGAAGCCACTGGTCTCGATCCTGCTCCTCTCTTCTTGGCTGTCAGAACTGAGGCTCTCTGGGAGGCCTGATGAGCCAAAGTGGAAGAAGGCAGACACGCTGGAGGAGCAGGCGTCTAAGTCATCCTCTTCCAGGGCCTCCACGGACTCGCTTGAGCCGCTGGTCTTACAGCCCCGACTCTCCGTGTTGGCTGAGTCGGATGCCTCAGACTCGGCACTGTCTGTCGTGCTGCAGGCCCCACATGTGCTTGGGCCTCTCCTGGCCTCCTCAGGTGTAGAGTTGTTCCCAGGAGACTGCTCTTCTTTTATGAGTGATCTGCAGGGACCCAGCTTCACAGGGTGTCTATCAGAAAGAGGCTCTAGTACACAGTCCACCTCGGAGGACTCCTCTGAGTCGCTGCAGGCCCTGGATTCGTAACCTGCAACACAGGAGACACCAAAGGTTACAAAAATAGCATTCTGGGACTGGCAAGGGCCTGCGTGTCCTTCTGGCACATCCAACCTTGCCTGATGAGAACACTATGGTCCAGAAGAGTGGCCCAGAACTACACTATATTGACTGACCCAGGATCCAAGGGACCCCAAATTCCATGTTCTCCCTACACCATCAGGCCACCTGTCTCACACATGTCTGAACCACTTAAAGAAGAAAGAACTAACTCCATTCCTGCTTCCAAGGAGACCCATCTGTTCATGGAAATGTGGTGAGTATTTCATTGGATTCCACTCTGTGTGGGCAGCAGGTTTGGCTAAGACCCTCCCCAAATTTTGGCCCTGTCCTGTCTAGACATCAAAATCAAATGAGGAATCATATTTTAAAAATACAACAGATCCTTGGCTCAACCCCTGAGTACTGAGTCAAATTTCTAGGGAGTGGACCTGGAATCTGTATTTTTAGTAACTTTACAGGGATCTTGAGACTGCTTGGCTGGCATCATTCTGAAGCCCAGCCTTGGGAATTTCCTGTACTGTAGGCCTTTTAGGACAGTGAAAATTCATCTAGATACAGGCACCCAGGATGGAGTCATGGCAGGAGGGTGGCAGAGCACTGAGCCAGGTCTCCAGTCTCTTTTTTCCCATAAGCCTCCAGAGTGATCTTTCTAAAACTTCTCTCTGATCTCATCACACTCTGCTAAAACCCTCTCATGGCTTCCCCTGCCTAGAGTGAAGAGTCTAACCTCTCCCACGAGAATTAAAGACATCTCACAGTACAACCTTGTTGTCCTTTTTACAGGATAGCTCTGACCACTGCAGCCACCCAGAGAACTTCCCAGAGATCATGATCTTGCTCTTGTATTATGTCTCCACACCCCCTCTGCCTTGAATAATCTTCCCTCCTTTGTTTGCCTGGTTCACTCCAGAATACTCTTCAAGATCTAGTTCCCATACCTCTTTCTCTAGAGCACTTTCCGGACAGGCAGCAGCGGTCCTTCCTACCACCAGGCTCCATAATAGCACCACGCTTGCCCTGTGGTGCCTCCCTGACCAGACTCTGGGGTGTCATCCCTTGTTCATAAACACATTGTGTAAAAATAAAGGTAACAAATACCTAAAACTCACTATTTCCTAATTATTTCACTTTATTTTGTTATTATCTGCTCTCTTGAGATGATGCATGCCTATCTCATTCCTATAGAGGAAACACTATACAATGGTGTATTACTGAGCGCCTCTTCCCACTCCACATTCAGTGTTGGTAGCTTGAAATTAGCCAGGGTGAGAGTGTTTATACCATGGAACTAGGCAACTGCTTCAAATCAGGATATTTGTTTCCTTTTTAGAGTCAGTTGTTAAATATTTATCAGCATACCCTGGGGAAAATGTTCCATCAATAGTGCGGAAGTGAAGCCCTGATAGAAACTGGGTGTTGACCTGGGAAACTGTCTCACTGCCCTGTATTTCTTTATGCTTCTATGCGACTTCACATCTCTTTTGTCTCCAGGTACCCCAATTTTCTCAACATGTAAGCTTGAGAACTTCTATGATAATTCAAACAAATGCAAACGGGTGCATGGGTATGGAAGAGAAGACAGGTCATTTACTTCCTGAAACAAATAGGTGACATTTCTTTTTGATGAGAAATAATGACATAAGGCAGTGGATCTTAGAGATGATTTTAGGAAATACTACAGGGAATTGGAGATCTTCAACAGCATTCCTTGGCTTTAAGAGAATTTCAGGTACCATGAAAGCTTCTCCATTTAGTACTTAGGAAAGATCAACTGTTCACTAGGAAATAAATAAAAAAATAGCCTTGTCCACTTTGGTCGATGTCTTGGCTCAATTAAATTCACCACCTCCCTTTAGGCTGTCCTTACCTACAAGGCCAGTGAAATGAGCCTGTCCTTACTTGACCCACAAGACTCAGCACCTCACCTTCTTCAGCAGATACCCGGTGCACTTGTTGTTTGTTTCCAGGCCAGAGAAAAATGCAGGTAACAGGGTCGACCAACAGCCTGTAGTATCCAGCAATCAGACAGGCTAGGTCTTTTGCACTGTTGGATTCCAGCAGCAAAGACAGAACCTTGGAAGGTAAAGAGAACTATCATGTTTAATAAAGGGCTAAGGGACAGTCTGAAGACTGACAATAAGGCCATGTAAGACCAACGTGCGATTCTAAGTAAATCCAGCCACAATCCACAGGCAGGCTTCCCAGTACCCCACATTCACCCATAAGGCTTTAAATGAGCATATATGAGCACACAAACAGATACAATCACACAGGCATGTGCACGTGTGCACACACACACACACACACACACACACACACACATGCTCTAACACACACAGTGGGTTCCTCCCATCCAACTATACAATGTCTCCTCTTTCTCCATTCTCTACCTCAGCCCTCAGCCCAACTGCCCCACCCTGCCCTACTCATTCATGCACTGGGGGCTCTTTTCTTGACCTAGAAAAGAAAAAGGAGCAAGAACAAGTGGAGAATGAGGGAGAAGGTGATAAGAAGAATGAAGCACCATTCTTGAGCATTTATTAAGCAAGGAGGGCAGGATAAATATAGGACCTCCCAGAGAGATCTTCCCTGTGCTATTTACTTTTTTTTCTTTTCACAGCCAGATGCTCTAGCCAACTATTGACCTATTTCAGTTTCCACCCTCAAAACTCTTGGGCAGCTGTCTGGTCCCATGCATGTGATAAAATCCTCTGGTGTTCTCCAGCTAGGTTTCTGAACTCAACAAAAACTTTATAAGGAAGGTCCACAGTCCAGCTCAGTTTATACAAAAAAACTTTTTAGGACTTTCCCAGAAAAATGCACCCTGCTTACTATTTTCCCTTTGATGGGGCAGGATAGACAATCTGCTCTCTTAAGCAGATGTTGGACATTATACTTTATTATTATTCAAAATGTATACAAACTACCCTAAAATACTTAAGAGACAAATTCCAAAAGCTGGATTCAGAATCTCTTCCTATTGTTGTTACCTTGACGTCCTGAAGATACACTTTGACCAGGCTCACTTTCTCAGACTCTTCCGTCAGCTCTATGCGGCTGATGTTTGCAAACTCTGCCAATGTGGACATGATGTTGAGTTTGCTATTGATAATTTGGCTAATCCCATACTTGGCTCCAACGAGAAGTGCAATGTAGGATTCTCTGTCCTGTAGCTGCAGAAGAGTGGAAGCAGAATTTGTTGTCATTCACAAGCTTGTGAAAATACACTGCACATATAAGAAATAATCTCTCTCTCTGTAAGCTTTCTGAGTCCTACTTTAGGTCCTTACCACCATTCCCCTAGACTATTGCCTAACTTGGGTTGCATCTACAGCTAAATTAAGTATAAATTTATCTCCCATAAGGCCCTCTCCATTAGGACACTAAAGTCACAGCCATAAACACAATCGTACTTTTGCACCTATGTGCCTATCTTCATGCTGCATCCACCTCCTGGAATCCCTTCCTTACCATCATTACCTGTGTATGGATGTATTTATTATTATTATTATCTAGATTTTATTTTAGATTCGGGGGGTATATGTGCAGTTTTGTTAACATGGCATGCTGTGTGATGATAAGGTTTGTGCTTCTATTGAACCTGTAGCCAAGTAGTAAACATGGTAACCAACAGATAGTTTTTCAATCCTTGTCCCTCTGCTTTAGGAGTCCCCAGTGTCTGTTGTTCCCATCTTTATGTCTGTGTATACCCAGTGTTTAGCTCCTGCTTATAAGTGAGGACATGTGTTATGTGGTTTTCTATCTCTGTGATAATTCACTGAGAATGGCCTCCAGCTGCATCCATGTCCTGTAAAGGACTTTATTCCATTCTTTCTTTGACTGCGTAGTATTCCATTGTGTATATGTACCACATTTTCTTTATCTGATTCACCAATGATGGGCACCTAGGTTGGTTCCATGTCTTTGCTGTTGTAAATAGTGCTGCACATCATTACCTATTTAAATCCAGGCCCTTCTTCAAAAGGTTACATCAAAATCTACTGCCTGATCTCAGCCTCCTCAAACCAGAGTGGTCCCTTTTCTCTGTGTTGTCCCCACACCCCTTCCTCGTACTTCTCTGATAGCATTGAGCAATTCTGACTTCTTATTGTAATTATTTGTACTCAAGCCTCACATTCCATGTTAAGTTCCTTAAGAGTCTGCATTTATCTCTATTTGTAACCCCTGCAACCAGCAAGCACCGTAGACCAATTCGATGTGGTTGGCTGGTTCTGCTACTACCAGTTCTTTCCTTGGACAGGACAGGTAGAGGGAGACTGGGGACCACGAATGAACAGCTGGGAGATAGCAGACTGAGCCCTTGGAAAAATTGGAAAGTTTTTCTTGTACCTTCAGAACCTTCCTTCCTGTGACCTAGTCTCTTTTCCACCTCTGGGGTCTTCTACTTACACAAAGGCTCCATCTGTTTTCCCCCTCCCTGCTAACTAGCAAAACAAACCCTTTCCCTTTCTCTCAAAACATCGATTCTCTTTTTCCATCCACACTGTTAGGTCAGCAATCTAAGTAGACTGACCCATCACTGTACATGACTAAGAAGCACACCAAATTTTCTGAAAGGAGTTTTGTTGATCTTTTTAAAAACCACTCTAATTGGTAAATTGGCTTTGTGCTAGAGAATTCTGGAGCTGACAGTGGTGGGGGAAAGTTCCCTTAAAGCACACCCTGCAGACACTGCCTGCTCCGAGAAGGGAGCAGGAGGAAGAGTAAAGGGCTTTGTGCTTCTCTTTCTCCCTCTCAGGCCCATTCCTCCATCCTTCCCTTCTTCTGAACAATCAGGGATCCATCCTGGCAGTCAGTCTAACATTCTTATCTTTCCTTCATGATTTCCAAGTTTTCCTCTTCATCTTCAAAATACCCAGAGCTCCAGAGTGAACTGCTTACAGTACCCTTCAACCAGAATGCTCTTCTTCTGTACTGGGTCTGGCCAAAACCAACCTTCTTGCCTTCCCAGAATCCCTTCTCCTTCCTATTCTCACCCTGGAGCTAGCAGTGCTACCCTGTGTCTTCAACCTGCAAACAATAGCCTTGAACCAGTCTCATGACTTTGCTTTTCCTTGCTAGGTAGCTTATTTCATCCTTCAAGGATGGAAATAACATTTAACTCAGCTCTGCCTCCCCTAGCAAATAACCCAGGTCTAGCACCAAGTAAGGGCATGATACATATTTGCCAATGGTGTACTATTTAGTTTCCTGAGCAAATTCTAGTACCTGACAGAGTCCTCAGGAATTTTAGGTTAAAAGATACACTGATTTTCAGAGGACCTCCAATGTTCCTTATAAGAGGAGTAGGATTTCGGGGCACACCTCATCAACAATGGTACTTGCATAATCAACATTTGTACATACCTAACCCTGAATTGTATCCCACACCTCTAAAATAAAAAAAAAAAATTAAAAGTTAAAAAAAAAAAGAGTAGGATTTCACAGTTCTCTAATACATACCATTAAAGTAGCATTAAAGATTTTTCCACCATATGTCTTGAGCTCCCCAAGGATCTGTAGATAATTTAAACGTAGCTGGGCAGCAGAAATAAGTTGCTTAAATGAAGAAAAAATTGTTGAAGTCAGAGTTACTCAGTTGCTTAAAATTCAGGCAATGTTGAAAATGTTTTCCCCAAAGTTTCACTACAGATGGCTGGGTAGGTCGGCAGAGGCACCTACATTACCTTCTGTCGAGGTTCCAGCAAATTCTGGTTCCTCTTCATGTGGAAGCTGATGGCTTTCTTGATGTCTTTGCCTTTCATGTTTCTAAGTAAAGTTGGAGATATAAAGTTCTCTATTCCCCAATCCTTCCTGCCATGAGACATCAGAAACAAGGAGGCTCATTTATTTACCATGAACTTGTAAATGGAGAGCATAATTACATTTGATTCAGTACTTACTATTCCCATAGCCCAGCAGTCATGAGACTTTTTCTCCAGTGGAAGAAATATATATATTCTTTCACTGATACCTCTCTCTCTCTCTCTCTCTCTCTCTCTCCTCTCCTCTCCACCCTGTCCCCCACACAAATCATCACAGCCATTCAGGAATTAAACTCTATTGATCATTCCAGGAGCTCACTATTCTTGGTATGGTGAAATATTCTATTAATCAGAGCAGAACTTCTCAATCTTTTTCACTACAACATGTGTGACAAATAATTATAGCACATGTACAACACACTCTCATGGGGCATCACAAAGCATCTCTGAATCCCCAAAGCCAAGCTTCAGAATGGTGCCAGCCTAGCAACCTCAAAATTCCCCAGAAACTCATTAAAAATACAGATTCTCAGGCCCATTCCCTAGATATTTGACTCATTTCTCAGGGGTAGGATCAAGGATCTGTTGTATTTTTTTTCTTTTTTGAATCAGGGTCTCACTCTGACACCTAGGCTGGAGTACAGTGCCATGATCACGGGCCACTACAGCTTCAAATTCCTGGGCTCAGGCAATCCTCTTGCCTCAGCCTCCTGAGCACCTGGGACTACAGTGCGCACCACCATACCTGGCTAATTTTTCTATTTTTTGTAGAGATGGGTCTCGCTTTGTTGCCCAGTCTGGTCTCAAACTCCTGGTGTCAAGTGATCCTCCCACCTCAGCCTCCCAAAATGCTGGGATTATAGACATGAACCACCATACCTGGCCTGTGCTTTTGGGTTTTTTTGAGTTGGAGTCTCACTCTGTCACCCAGACTGGAGTGCAGTGGTACATTCCCGACCACTGCAGCCTCCACCTGCTGGGGTCAGGTGATCCTTCCGCCTCAGCCTTTCAAGTAGCTGGAACTACAGGTGCATGCCACCATGCCCAGCTAATTTTTGACTTATTGTAGTGACGAGGTCTTGCCAAGTTGCCTGGGTGGGTCTCGAACCTGTGGGCTTGGGCAATCCACTCGCCTCAGCCTCCCAATTATGTTTTTAAAATATGATTCCCAGTCTGATTTTGATGCCCAGATAAGACAGAGATTTGGGGAGGAGCTTAGCAAACCTAGGTGACGCTGCTCAGAGCAATTCTAAGAAAAGAATCACAAAGTGTTGGAATCCCAGGACTTGAAACTACCCTAGAAAGGATACAATGAAACAGGAACTGGTTCATATACCTGGGAAAGATTAATTTCCAAGGCATTCCTGCCCTTAGAAAAGCTTAACACTGAAGCTGCCAACTGATTTCTCAAGACTTCCTCCAAGGATCTGGGAATTTACAAGGGGATCTTATGTCATTCCATCTGGAGTTGACTTCTGTTCCAGAGGGAGGAACCAGATTCTGACATCTGGGGGAGCCAGGCCAGGTCGGAGAGCGTGGTGAGGAAAGTAGATGGGAAGATGACAGACATAGTTGGGTAAGTGAGTGGATATCGGCTTTCCTTGGCGTCTGGCCATCCTGGCCAGGGGCCAGCAAGATTATAAATGCAATGCAACTGCAGCCCCCTGCCACTCACTCTATATACTTCAAAGAGATCTTCTGTGGCTGGGCACATGCATAGATCCGCTCCTGGATGTGCAGGGCCGCGAGTCGGAGTGCAGAACTGCATTTCATTTCTACAGCAAAGCGTTCCTGGAGCACGTCGCTGCAGCTCTAGAAGAGGTCAGATGCAGCAGTTAGGAAGCAAGAACTGACAGAATGTGTCCCCCAAGTTTTCTAGTGAAAGACAGCAGGATCAGGAGCTGGTTCTGACAGTTCTTGACTGTGTGACCTTGGTAGAATTACTAAGACTCTGAGCACTGATGTCTTCCATTGGTAAATGAGGATAATCAAATCTACCTTATGTGGTTTCTCTAAGGTTTAAATTAGATAATGCACATGAAAGCAGGCATAAGACATACACTATTATAAAAATATATGGATTGTGTTATTGTTGCTATTATTTTTGTTTGTTTGTTTGTTTTGAGTCAGAGTCTTACTCTGTTACCCAGGCTAGAGTGCAGTGGCATACTCATAGCCTTCACAACCTCAACCTACTGGGCTCAGTCAATCCATCTCAGCCTTCCAAGTGGCTGGAACTATAGGTGTGCGCCACCATGCCTGGCTAATTTTTGGATTTATTGTAGAGATGAGGTCTTGCCAAGTCGCCCAGGCTGGTCTTGAACCCTTGGAGTTCAAGGAATCCTCTTGCCTCTGCTTCCCAAAGTGCTAGGATTATAGGCATGAGCCACCATGCCCAGCTACTATTATTGTCATTGCTATTATTTTCTGCCAGCACTTCTGTAAAACTTCGGGCAAATCCATCTACCCAGTCTGAGTTATCTGTAAAATGGTGATGCCTCCCAAATGATTCATTTTCATCAGAATAAAAATGGCATCGTGACTCTCATCCAAGGAGGTGAAGCAGAAGGAGCACCAGGCTAGCAATCAGGGGACCAGTTTTTGGCTCTGCCACTAAGTGGTGACCCAGACAAATCACATGACCTTTATAACACTCAGTTTCACCATCTCTTAAATGAGGCTTTGCAGTACAAAAGCCCCTTTTAACAATAAAAACTGTAATTCTAAAGATCCTAAAATGGCATTAGAAAATGCATAATCTACAGTGAGGACAAAGCCTAAATTTCATTATTATATTGCAAATCTTCTAACACAGCAACGCAGTGATGGAAAAGGGAATTTGGAGAGATAATCAGGCCCATTCTCCTTCAGATGAAGACAATCCCTATCCCAGAGTCGCTTAATTTCCTTGAGCTCAAGTTCAGAATAACCCAATGTGCCATTTTTGAGAACAGCCATTGTTATTTTAGGAAGCACAGACCCAGTCACCTGCAGATAGAGATATTCAAAGGCCACGGGGTCTTCTTTCAGGAGGTCCAGGGGGTCCTTGGGAACAAAACACACCCTGAAGAGGCAGCGATAGTCATGTGACTCTTCCCTTTCTACCACCTGTGATGGGTAAGGGAGATAGGATTAATCTTCTAACTGCCACAAAACCACTTTTAAAAACAGAGACAATGAAAGACAATCCCCAGAGATTTCAAGTTTAGTGCTTCCCAAGGCAACCATAGACCTCTGCTCCTAATTGACTTTATTTCCCAGGAGTATACAATGTAAAAGGTTTTCCCACTAACTTGTCTCCCATTCCCCTCTGCAAAGGAAACCTGTTTCCAGTTTCTCGTGTGCCCCTTCCAGAGACAGTGTGTGCACATATGTGCTTCGATTATGTCTGTTTTTTTCCATAAATCATGTAGTAGACATTCCATTCTGCACCTTACTTTTTTCACTTAAACTATCTTAGGAATTCAATTTGACTTTTTCCCCAATGCAAATGGAATAAAAGTAATTAAAAAGTCCTCAAGCAGCAAGCCTTCTCACAGGTGAGTGACGGGAATAAGAACTCACCTGCAATGGGGAATGTTCAGAGGGGCATCTATGAGGTCGTGTCTTACTCACACTGTTCCTCTGCTTGAAAAGCGCCCTCTCCTTTTTTGATTGTTGAAATCCTGCTCATCTTTATAACAGTACACACTCAACAAGGATGTGTTACGCTAACCTGTGTTTGACTTTAATAAGTTGGTACAAGTTACTGAATGGCTGAAAGATCGAGTGGTACAAACAGATTGACTGTGTTTGCCCTGTCTTGCCATCAGGGACCATCTCAGGGGGCAAGTCCCACAAAAAGGGCTTAGACATGTAACAAATGGCTCTCTCACATTTCAAAGGCAACAGGTGCAAGGGAACATCATCAGAGCCGGAAGCAAAAGATGGGGTTCTATGAGCTGTATTACCTTGAGAAAATCACCTCACTTCTCTAAGCATTTGTCTCCACATCTGCAAAATGGGGACCTTAAATCTGTGTCCTGCCTACCTCATACGAGCAAATGAGAACCAGGCCTGAATCTTATTCCCAGGGCGAGTGAATTCTGTGTCCTCTGGAGCATGAGATAGTGCATCAAACCGCAGGTGTGCTGAGCCCTGTCCCCAGATCTGGCTGAGGTGTGGCAGCCCAGTCCGTGCTCCCAGGAGCAGGCAGCAGATCCTCCCTACCTGCTGGATGAGTTCCTCTTCATGCAGCAGGTGCAGTCGCGAAATGCTGTACTGCTCTTCCAGGACCAGCGCGAAGTACTCGATACTTCGAATCGACAACTTCTCCTTCACTGTGAGGATGATGTCCTGCAGGCAGAGAGGCACAGGAGTGACTCAAGGAACAGGGAAGGCTTCTCTGACCTCGCTGCTCCTCGGTGCAGGTAGGGAGAGAAAGGCCCTCTGCCAACTCAGGCAGGGCTCCAGCTCCCACCCATCAGGCCCCTCACGGCCCTGTACCCATGGCTCCCCTCTCCTCAGGCCTTAGCACCACTCATGTGAACACCCCCCCCCCCGCTTGTCTTGGAAGGTTGAAGTCATCCATTGGGGCTTTTGCCTCCCTCCTCCGTGTTTCTGGATTCATCCTCTCTCTGGAGTTCCCAGTCACTAGGCAACGAAGGAAAATTTCTGAACCTCAGGTTCTACCTCTGCAAAATGGGGGATAAGGATGACTTCTTCTCAGGGAGGCTAAGGTTGGAATGGCAATCAATGCTGTACTGAGGCATTAGAGTTGCCACATTACACTCCCATTTCACTCAAGTGGCCCACTGTCATCACATCTTTACTGCCTCGGAGCACTTGTACATGCTGTTCCTTCTGCCTGGTATACTTTTCCCATTACTCTACAAGTCAATGTCTTTCTCTTCCTTTAAACCTCAGCTCAAATATCACCTCTTCAGAGAAGCCTTCTCTGGTCACTGTATATACATGTAATTGTCCCTGTTATTCACTGTCCTGTTCATTTACCTCATCATTAATATTATTTTCTCTAATTGACAGCTATATTAAAGTTAGGTAAATGGGTTCTAGACCTGCCCTACCACTCACTAGCAGGGTATGTCCCTGGATAAATTGCTTACTCTTTTCTACACTTCAGTGTTTTCATCTGTAAAACAGTATCAATAGTAATACTATCTTATAGGGTTGTGTGTGTGTGTATATATATATATATAGATAGATAGATATATATATATATTTTTTTTTTTTTTTTTTTTTTTTTTGAGTCAGAGTATCACTCTGTCACCCAGGTTGGAGTATAGTGGCAAGCTCACAGCCACCACAGCCTCAATTTACTTGGCTCAGGCGATCCCTCTGCCTCAGTCTTTCAAGTAGCTGGAACTACAGGCGTGCACCATTATGCCTGGCTAATTTTCTGATTTATTGTAGAGATGAGGTCTCGCTATGTTGCTTAGGCTGGTCTTGAACCCCTGGGCTCAGGCAATCCTCTTGCCTCCACCTCCCAAAGTGCTGGGATTACAGGCATGAGACACTGCACCGGCAATACTTTTCTTTTTTTTTTTTGAGTTGGAGTCTCACTCTGTCGCCCAGACTGGAGTGCAGTGGCCGCTCCCGGCCACCGCAGCCTCAACCTGCTGGGCTCCGGCGATCCTTCTGCCTCAGCCTTCCAAGTAGCTGGAATTACAGGCATGTGCTACCACACCCGGCTGATTTTTTGATTTATTGTAGAGATGAGGTCTCACTGCCCAGGCGGGTCTCAAACCCGCGGGCTCAGACAATCCACTCACCTCAGCCTCCCAAAGGCGCGGGATTACAGGCTGAGCTACCGAGCCCGGCTATACTTTTCTTTTTAATTAAAAAATTTTTTTTTAAACTAAAAAAAAAAAATTAGAGATAGGATCTCACTCTGTCACCTAGGCTGGAGTGCACTGATACAATTCCAGCTCACTGCAGCCTCTAACTCCTGGGCTCAGACAATCCTCATGCTTCAGCTTCCAGAGTAGTTGAGACTATAGATATAAGTCACCACATCCAGATTTTTTTTTTTTTTTTGGTAGAGATGATGAGGTCTTACTATGTTGCTCAGGTTGGTCTTGAACTCCTAGCTTCAGCCTCCTAAAGTGTTGGGATGATAGACATGAGCCAGTGTACCCAGCCTGTCATGTACATTACATCAATTTCTCCATATTAGGTACTTTGAATAGTACCTGGCAGATAGTAAGGGTTTAATACATACTAATTGCTAATATTTGTTTTTTGCATATTGTCTTTCACCTCAGTAGATGGTAACTCCCTGAGAATGCAAACCTTGCCTGTCCTGTGCTCCATTACAATATCCAATGCTTGGCACTTAGAAGCTTACAAACTTTCACTTAATGAAAATAATAAAAGTCATGTGTCCTGCCAGAACCTCCAGTTTGGTAAGTCCCAAACCATTGGTTGCTACTTCCTCCTCATAACTCCCAATTCCAAATTCTCTCTCCACTCGTTCTATCACCCCATAACTAACCAGGGACTGAATCCTGAAGAGTCTATGTGTTTCTGTAGCTCAACATCATTCATTCATGCCTACTGTGTGCCAGGCATTATGCTGGCTATGATGGAAAGTTCCTCTCTTGACTGTCCCTTCTTCTTCATTCTCCCACATCTACCTTGTCTTGAGCATGCGCATCACTTCTGGCTTTGCAGAGAAGTGTTCTATGAACCTCCCCCCAACACCCATCTGTTCTCTACTTGCATCTAGAGCAAAGGTTGGCAAATCATAGCCTAAGGAGCAAATCCAGCCCACTGTCTGTTTTGTAATTAACATGTTATGGGACCATAACCATGCCCATTTGCTACAACAGCAGAGCTGTATAACCATGACAGAGATGGTAAGGGAGAAGGGAAGATAAGTCACTGATGAACTGACAGAGATTTTTCCCTAGGATTTATCTATATCCACCTCTCTGTGTGTCACAAAGAGCTAAAAGATTTGCTTTAAAAATTTGGGCTATTACAGATAAGTAAGATTAACCAGTACTATACTGGTTAATTCCTTGTTCATTTCCCCAACTCTCTCTATCATATTAAGTTTAATTCCCCTATGTTGTGGACTTTTATTGTAAGTCACCTCTAAGTCCTTTTGGCCACCAAAGGGGGAACCACTTTAAAGAAATCAAGCCTTCCATTCCAATCCACTTTGATCAAAGATAACAGAAGTGAAGCTGTTGCCTAATTCATTTGCAAAACTTGCTTTTTATGCAGAGTGGCAGAGTTATAACCTCCAGCACAGAGTTCAAAAACAGATCAAGTTTGAAGCCTGTTATGAGCTAGCTGACCTTGGTGGGTTTTGGACCACTTGGGCCTATTGCCTCATCTGCAGAGTGGGGATAAAATGAGCTACTTCACAAGGTTACTGGGGCATTACATGACAGTATACAAGGAAGTGCCCGGCAGAGTGGCTGGCATGTAGTCAACATATGAAATCCGTACCACCCTCCCCTTCCTTCTCTGGGCGTGCAGCTTCCCAATTCAGACAGGCTTTCTCCAGCTTCTTCTAAGTTACTCTAGGATGGAATGGGACAGGGCATTTGAAACAGCTCTGGGAATTGCCAAAGGAAGACGCCAGAGAGAAACATGAGAGGTGTGCATGTGTGTGTGTGAAGGTACTGTGTGGATGTATGTGTGCATGTTTGTCTTGGCTGCCGTCAATCACCTACAGCTGCACTGACCCACCTGAACCTGCTCTCTTTCCAGTACCAGAAGAGCTGTGCTCGATGTTTCCTCTTAATGGTTTCCACTGTTTGAACAATTTTGTTTGTAACCTCATTCTAACACTATTTATTTCCTTGTTCAAGAATTGCTGGGGCCTTTCCTTACTATCTGTGCATAAAACCCAGACCCTGTCATTGCCTGGCATCTGAGGCCCCCTCAGCCACTCCTCCCTCAAGAAAACCACCTGTGGCTCTGGTTTGCTATTCCCTGGGCAATGCCCATTTTCCTGGCTTTCTGCATTAGTTCATGTGACTGATGTGCACCTCACCCTCAACCACCCTGTCCCCACCTGCCCTTGTTGAAATCTTAGTTGCCATCCAAAGCTCAGCTCCAGTCCAGCTTCTTCCCCAAGCCTTGTCTGATGGTCTGAAAGGCCAGAATAGGGGGTGCTCTTTCCCATGCACTCAGAACACTTTCTTGTCCCTCTTTTAACAGCCCTTATTTCATCCTGCCTGGACTGCTGGGAGCTCCTTGAATGTCCACCCTCCCTCAACTAGACTGTGAACTCCTGCAAACAGAGACCACCCTTAACCCTTAATCCTTCTCAGAGCATCTCATATGGGGCAGCTTGTTAAGTATAAGTTGAACTGATTTGAACATAGAATAGAATATGCAAGGGCCAATGCCTGTCCTGATAGATCACCTGGGCTTTTAGCTGCTCTGGTGTTGGGGGTAGCAGGTGGAATCACAGACAAGAAGCAGGAAAGCCTGGTGGTTGAGGGTAAAGGCTTAGAAGTTGTAACATGATCTTGGGCAAGTCTAGTCCTCATTTTCTCCCCTGTAAGGTGGTGATAAAAATATCTTGCTGGGTGGTTTTCTGACTAAATGAGATAACACAGTGCTTGGCTCACAGCAAGTACTCAGTCCATGGTGGCTGTGAGACCACCAAAACAGATGCAGGGCAAGATGCCTGGGGTTCCTTGGAGCCAAGCAGATTCTTCTGGAAAAGAGGCTTAAGTTTATTCATTATACCTTCACAGTTGTGTTTTCCTCAAACTTGAAAGCTTTGGTCTGTCCATTCTCCAAGTACAGCTTGAGCACGTTGGGCATACACAGCAGAGAATTACCCTGGAAAACACAAGAGTATTGTGTCGTTGTCATACCCTTCCTGTCCTAGGTGTGACAAATCCTTTGCTGCCTGGCCCTGCCTGATTTGGTGAGCAAGATCCTTCCTAACCTCACCATGTCAGGGACTGTTTCTTGGCATTTGGGAATTTCTCCAGTGGGCAGGCATGTTTTGTCAAGGCATACCCATGAGAACTGTTAGATATGACAAATGGTGGAGAAGAGCGAGTCCTGCCATGAGCACAGAGATATCACTGCAATGTCTCACAACCATCAGCTAACATTTCACTGCTGGTCGCCACCCTTATGGGATGCAATTTGGCAAGTCAGATGACTGGCATGCACACTGTCTAAAATAGGCCTTTCTGGGATTCTTGGACCCTGTCTTTGGGGCTGGGGTGGAACACTCTCTAAGAGCCTCTCCCACCCCCATTGTATTGCTGCATCTCCTGTAGTGAAACATCACCAAAGGCAGAGGGATGCTCTCCACCTCTACCCACCCCCAACATGTGTAGTCTTCTCAGAGACTCTGCTGCTCGTAGAGGGCTTTATGGGAAGAAAGCACAGGACTGGTCTGTGTTTGGGGACCTATACCAGCCAGAATCCTGGGTGGAGCAGGGCAGGGCTTGGGAGAACCCCCCAACTCCCATAAGAAGTGACCTCTGAGTACCTAACTGCAAATACAAAGGGCCCTGGGGGCTGGTGTCCTTCGGAAGCATGGAGAGATTCTAGAGTCCCCAAGATTTGAGCTAGAATTGCCCCCAGCACTAATCTTTACAAAGAGTTTACATGTAGAGTCCACCTGGGTAAAAAAGGTTATCATCTTTTTTCAAAAAAGTTAACAGGCTTTTCAGATGAGACTCTTAAGTCTTCTAAATATAAAGGTGCTTGTATCTTCTAAGCAAGACTCACAACCACCACTCTCCATAACTTTTTTTTTTTAACCACAGTATTTTTATGAAGGAAAAAGAAAGATGTTCATATTCCGGTGCCATTTCACACTCCATAAGGATGAGAGATTTCACTCTGCTGTCTTCCCACTTCTCTGGCTTTGGATGTTTAGAAATCTTAATTTTTGGATTTCCCAAGTGGGCAATTTTTTCCCTTGGTACTTTTTTTATGTGTGATTATAAAGTTTTTCAAAAAATACATCCATAACAGCATCGCCTAATGATCACCATTTACTTCTTTCAATTTTTGTCTACACCTGTAAATAGTTTTTAGAGAACTGTAATAATATGCACAATTCTATGTTCACTTTCTATCCAATACACATTTCATAAACAATTTTTCTGTGGGCTTAATGTTTATAGCTATAATGGATTTACACTATTTTATTGAGTTGAAATATCAGAATTGATTTAACTATTCCTCTGTCCTAGACATCTAGCTTCTTTCCATTTGGGAAGAGTTACTTTAAATATTGATACTGTGGAGCTCTTTAAATATATGAATTTTTGTACTTAAATTATTTTACAGACTACATTAATAAGAATGCAATCTCTGGGTTACTTTTGTTGTTGTTGTTTTTGTTTTTGTTTTGAGTTGGAGTCTTACTCCATTGCCCAAGCTGGAGTGCAGTGGCACGCTCACGGCCACCCCAGTGTCAACCTGCTGGGCTCCAGCGATTCTTCTGCCTCAGCCTTTGTAGCTGGAACTATGGGCGTGTGCTACCACTCCCGGCTAATTTTTTTTATTTATTATAGAGATGAGGTCTCACCAAGTTGCCCAGGCTGTTCTCAAACCCATGGGCTCAGGCAATCTCCTCACCTCGGCCTTCCAAAGTGCTGGGATTACAGGCTTTGAGCCACTGCGCCTGGCCTCTGGGCTACTTTTTATTATAGATATTAAGTTTTTCTTTTCCATTCAAAGAAAGTGTAAGCCAATTTACAAAGCCACCAGTTAGTGCAGCACTACAATTACTTTCTCCGTATCAGGGTTTACATTTTTTTTTCTCTATTTGTACTCATTTACTGAGTATAAAGTGTCATTTTTAAAAATACTTTCCTTTGCCTTTCTTAAACTGTGAGGAAAGTTAAACATATTTCAAATGTTGGTTTACTATTTCAGATCCTTCTAGAGTAACTGTGCATCCTGAGACAATCTTCTCATGTTCCAGGGGGAAAAGTTTAACCACCAATTTTCTCATCTTTTACACCCTTGAAGGGATGAATAGGCAGGTCATGATGATGAGCTCTCACTGGGTTTGCCATCTCTGCCTTGTGTGACTGATGCAAAGTCACATAAATTCCCCATAGTGACCCAACCTGCAAGTCTTCCCAGAAGCATCCTTTTAGAACCCTAATCCTCTAAACACCCCACCCCCACCCCACCAAAACGGTAAACCAATTTTCTAACCAGTTTATGTCAAAACTTGTCTTTATCTTGTCCTCTCAGCATAGACACCAGAAAATGAGAAGTCATGGCCATTGTAGCAAATCATCAATCCAGTGACCTGGTCCATACCTGTAGCACCATTACTCTCTACCTATCCTTCTAGTTGGTTCGTACCCCATCAGTCATCATTGTGCATGACTCTTGAAAACACATGTTGAATTACTTAATTTTCTAAAGCTGTTCAATCTATTTTTACAAACATGGACACACTGAGACTCCGATATTGCTGATTGACAGTTCTTTCCTGATTCATGCATTAGGCTTCCCACTGATCCCTTCCTGAACAAATCCACCTTTCTCTCTCAGGTCTAACTGAGGGCGTGCTCTGTTAATTAGCAAAACAGGTAGAAAAATAAGGGCTCTGTAGATGTGGACCAGGTCCCCTGAATTCTTTGATAAAATGGCTATGAACACTCCCCTCTCCCTGCCATTGACTACTATCTATGGCAAAAAAACAAAAAAAGCAAAAGAAAACAAAAAAACAGATAAGGACAAGTTTTTACTAGAAAGTTTCAAAATCTAGTAGTAATTGCTAAATTCAGAATGGCAATGGTTACACTGGGGGAAACATGTAAATTATAAATGTGCCTTTTAGCCAACACTCCACATTAAAATCAAACTCTAGCCAACATTTTCCCTTTACAAATTTGTCTTCTGAACCCCCAACCCTAGATCTCTCCATAGCAAAAGGTTGAGGCAGCATGTCATAGTGAAAAACCAAATAACTAAAGTCACATAGACCTGAGAGCCTGTATTTTCTACTGTGTGATCTTAGAGGTTAAGTCTCTTCATCTCTCTAAGCTTCTGCTTCCTCTTTTGTTAAAATACCTGCTTTAAAGGGTATTGTGATGACCAAGGATCACGTACACAAAGAAAAACAATCCCTACCACCACCATTACGATTATCAATATATTATTATTCAGAAGGAATAATAAATTTGAGGATTCATAAGGAGATGCTAACTAGTAGAATCTGTGGAAATTTCAGTGGGCAGGAGAATGGAGTTGCAGAAGAACAGAGAGCCATGCCCAGTGCTTTTCTCCCCAGTCCCCACACATGGCCCAGAGATCCTACCAAACTCTCTCATATCTGCAGACATCTGACAGAGGGTGCACAAAGCTGCTAGCACTGACTCAGTTGCTAGCACTAACTTTCTCCGTGCTGAGGGATGCAGCATTTCAGGGAGTTAAATGCCAGAAGGCAGCTCGCCAGCTTCATAAAAAGTAATTGCAATCCCCTGACTAGTGACGCACCTGGCTGTGTCCACTGATGAGTACTTCCTCAGCAAAGTGTACCTTCACAGGGTTGGTCTTCAGTCTGGCTCTCTTCTCCTCAGTCAGGAAGGATGATTTAGGGACTCCCTGAAAAACATTAACATGACACATTTTAGAACAGTGCTTTCATAAGAGTCATGTACATCTTCTCATTTCTTAAAAACAAAACCAAAAACTTTGACAGCTGTTGCAGGCTCAATTTAAACCCTGCAGAAAAGGATGATATCCCATTAAAGATCTACTTTGATAAAACCTAGGGATCCCAAGCCAGGCAATGTGTCTGAGAATAGCTGAGAATTCAACATGGTAGCAAAACGGCTGTGGTATGATGAAGATGAGGAGAATGGGCCTGTGAGCCAGCAGACCTGAATTCCAACCCAAGTTCTGCTACTCAATAGTTGTGAGCACTCCTTGAACACAGATTCTTATGAAAGAAAACCAGGTGTGTATGTGTGCACGCGTGTACGCATGCACATGTGTGTGCATGTGTGTGTGAAACAAAACAAAATAACTCTGTGTGACTTTGGCCAAGTCCTTGCCCCTCTCTGGCCTTCCCAGCTGTACAGTGTGGGAGTTAGGTCTCCCTGGAGCTCTGACCCTTGTGATTTATCCTTGACCCTCCCTATGCTCTTATCTTTTGGGTAGGGGACCCTCTTTTCACAGAGGAAAAAAAGAGTCATCAAAAGTTGGTATGAGCATATAGTGAAGCCCTTGAACTAGACTATATCAGGCCAAATTGTGACACTTGAAGAAGAGCATCTAGACCAACAGGTTGTGATCTTCCTGGATGAAATCCTGATACATTATTTCCCAGCCGAGCATCCCATGTTCCCTTGGTCTGGATAGGCTAACCTCCAGAATGTTTAGATGTATAAGACTACCTAGATGGAACTCTAAGCCAAATTTTGTGAAGCTGAAAGCAGAGATACACAACAGCAGTCAAGGAAACTTCGGGAGATGATGCGCATAGACTCAGATGTCAATATGCCAAGGCTATGAAGTACATGAAATGAACAAGTCGTCCTGAAATGTTAATGCAAGAAGATACACGTGATATTATGATTAACTAGAACCTTGATGTGACAGGATTCATGACTATGATTCAGCATCTCAAGTATATAGTTTGCTTTAAAACAAAACAAAACAAAACAAATCTTATAGAAGAAGAGAGGAGAAATTGCCATGTTCCCAGAGAAGACATGCACCTGTAGAAATTACTGGTCTTACAACCAGAAAAGATAGAAAGAACAAGGGAAAGAAAAAGTTATAACCCAAAATTAGTGATGAAACTATCAGATTGCTTTGAATCAGTTTAATACTCTTATGCCAGGTGGATCTAGGGGACTCATGGACCCATTATATGTAACAGCTGGCATCACCCACAGAACAGAGAATGGAAGAAATGTTAGAAGACTTAAGGAGGTCAAATATCAAATTTTCCAGAAAATTAATAGAGGATTCAGGAAAATACATATTGGTAAGCTTGTCATTAATTCTTGGCAAAATCCAAGATAAGAAATGGTCAGAGAGCTTTTAGACAGTGATCACTAATAACCAATATGGAGTTACCAAGAATAAGTCAGAGCCAACCAAGTTCATTTTTCTTTTGAAGATAGGATTCCAGTTTGGTAGACCAGGGTTCTGTGGATATAGTAGTATTCCTTCACTCTTGAAAATCATTGGATAAGGTCTCCTATAATCCCCCTGTGGAAAAGGCCAGATGCAGAGCCATTAGCTGGAATCAAAACTAGTTGACCTATACTCAAAATAGTCCTGATTTCTAACTGAGAAACTCAGGCTCCCTTTGGCTCAATCTTCATCAGTGATGTTTAGCAATGCCTTGGTTGAGGTCAGAGAAAGTGAACTTATCAAACTTGTGAATGATAAAACTGCAAAGTGTCATCAGATATGGGGTGGCAGGAATTTGGGAGGGAAAGGTCAAGAAACTAGGAGTCTAAAAGAGGGGTAACATGGGAAACTTGAGGACCAGGGAAAGCTCATGGATTATAGGCCAATAAATCACCAAGCACATTTCAAAAGGGTATAGAGAGGTAGGGCTATCAAAAGTTGAAGAAAATAGGACTAAGAGAGTGGCCAAAGCAATAGGTACAACCATCACCACACTAAAGACTCAAAGGAATGAGAAATCAGGAGCAGAAGAAAGGAGAGATGCAGAGAGAAAAGGAATCTTCAGAAGGTGACCATTGTTGTCTCTCACTCTAGGAAGAGAAGTCTTGCAAAGGTTAGGCCCAAAGCTGGATTATGCTAAAGAAAATCAGCTGGCCAGGAGCTGGAGGAAGTAGAGGAGACTTGGGAAGAGAAGGTTCCCTTACAGGAAGGGATAATGACTACTGCTGACTGACAACTGTACAAATAAGCCTTTCAGTCCTACAATTCTCTGACTGTAAAATCTCAGCATGCCAGAACACTGGATCAAAGCAACATTATTTGACAGGGATTAATGTGAAGTGTGGCATTAAGGAACCAAAAAATCAATTGCACACGCATGGGATTGGGGGGGCCTCGGTTGGAAGCTATTCATTTGAAACCAGCTCAGTATTTAGTTGGCTGCAAGTTTCACCCAAGTCAACAGTGTGATTGGGCCTGCTGAAATGTTAACCCAATCTTGGGTTTCACTAGCATTCTTGCTGCATGTTGGAAGTGTACCCTCCATTCCTTATGGCACTTGGCATTAGTTGACCATAGGTGGGACTGTGTTCCCTTCTGGTTGCTGCCATTTGGGAGGGTCACCATGAAATTGGAATCTATCCAGAAAGCTATCAGGGAAACAAGAATCCAGAAAAGCACTTTCATAAGGAATGGTTAATGATTTGAAATACACACTTCAAATCTTTGAAGAGTTATTTCATTCAAAGTAGACATGTTCTGAACTAGGACTACGGGGTGGGAGTCACAAGTCATTCTTACATTTGGAGTCACCCAACTATGAAACTGGCTGCTTTGAGAAAGAATGTACTGTCATGAAAATGCCTAACACACTGGCTTCACTGTGGCTGCTACACTTTTATACCTGAACATCAGCTCTGCTACCCTGGGTACCTTAGCATCTAGAATATATTGTAAACCATCTATTTAAGTCCACTCGAGTCACCTAATACTTTTTTCAATGTAATTGAATTATTAGGGAACAGTGGAGCATAACTTGAATTTCACATTTGCTTCTGCACAATTTTGTCTGCAAGAAATGCTAGGTGAACACAGAAAACTGCATCCAACTGAACCAAGATGGGTAGAAATGCACAGAGCACATGAACATACCTCAAACATCTATCAGCTACCTCAACTCACCACATGTAGCATCCTACATGTTCGTGTTTTTCTGTTCTTTTGCACTTGTGAACTTTTCTGTATAAACACTCACTCAACATCCCAAACCTGTCTAAGCATCCTGGTTCAAAATGCCAAGCAGTGCATGCTTAGAGGAAAGCACAAACTGAATGCAAAGACCTTAAACAGAAGTCATCAAATCCTGCAGACCCTTGAGCCATCTAATATTTTAAAGAGACAATTTAAAGGATAGGAGCTACCCATTATTCCAGAACTTCTAAGCTCTCTCCAGGTTCTAAATTAATTCATCAGAGAGCAGCAAATCTAAGCTGATAAAATCTCTTTGTGCATATGTTTGCTGAAGAGTTTATGCTTAAAGGGGCATTGAAAGGGACAAGTTGAAAAACATTTCTCTATCTTTTTGCAAAATTCTCCACCCTTGACTACACACCATCATTTATGAAGACAACAGGGTTGAAGGAGGTAGAATTAATGCTAAGAAATGTGGATCTGGAGTCTGGAAAACAAGCCAGCTTCACTGATTTCTGTAGGTGAGGCAATGGATGTGTGGCCCACAGTGTCCTTATCTGTAAAAGGGGGATAATGTGTGTATGCTTCTTATGGGATTTTCTTTTGGTGCAAACGTAATAAGACATTAATTACTGGCATTAATATTATTGCAAATAATTAATACATTATAGACAGCTAATATAGACAATATAGATCTACAAAATTAAACCAAAACTTTTTTTCCATAAAATCCCATGTCTTCGAGAAGAAGTACTTAATATTCCCAACTTTGGATTTTTATAATTCCTAATCAATTTCAAATCATTTGAGGACTCCAAGAATGTACCATGACAACAACAATGAGCCTTCTTGTTACAGCAAGACATATATGATCATTTTGCAATGTTTCTAAAATGCTTCAGGAAACTTCTCGTGAAACTTCTCGTGTCCCAGGAGTGGACAAGCCAATATTTAGGGCATTTCTCAGAAGTACTGACAGTCATAAATTGGGCTATTACTGGTTCTCCTCAGGGACCTCATTCATATACCACCCCCTCCCCCTCCTAGAAACATTGTAAGAATCTCAGGAGTAATACTGGACACGTACAATTTTCATCTCTCTACACTTTTTTCTTTTTAAAGGATACAGGATATGTTGTTTCCCTCTCTCCTTACATAACAAGTATTTTATTTTGCTCATTTCTTAGAAACAGATTAAGAAAACAAACCAAAAAACTACCTAATTAAGGTGAAGATGTTCTCCATTGAGATGATAATCAGTTAAATAAAAAGAACATCCTTAACACCTGCCAGACCACTTATACTGATTAGTTTTTCTTGTTTGTATATTGGTTTTACATTATTTCATAGACAAATTCTGTTTAGAAGAATCTCCATTTATTTGTGCATAAAACACTTGGTCTATCATATTTATGGCAAACATTTTAATTCAAATTTGGTGGTTTTTTTCCTATTCTATTTCTAAGAAATAAAAACAAAAGATAACACTTGTCAAATACAGAAAGGAGACAATTTCTTTGCTTTTTAGTGTTGTGAGGTGTTTAGACCACAGAAGTTTTATATTTTCACCTAATCAAATCATTGTTTGTTCTAATAAGCTTCCTCCCACTCCCCCTATGTTTAGGAAATCTTTCTACAATCTATGAACAGACAGACACGCATGCAAATTGTTTACATTTTTATCGTTTGTTTTTTATATTAAAATTCTTTAACATCCAATGGTGTGAGGTGATACTGTAGTTTTTCCAAATAACTTAAAGAAATACCCAAGGATGGTTTCTTGAATAACTGTCTTTTCTCCCACTTATTTGGAATGCTACTTTTTCACATACTAAATTCTTATACTAGAATCTATTCTTGAACTATTGGATTACACTGATATGTTTGACATTTCACTAATATCATATTGTTTTAATCATTATAGTTTTATTACTTTTAAAATGTGCATATCAAGGCCATTCTCATTATCTTTTTTTTTTTTTTTTTTGATTTGGAGTCTCACTCTGTCATCCTGTTGGGAGCCAGCCACAGAGGCCCACTGAGCATTAGGGATCAGGGAGGGCCATGGACCCCGAGACCACTAGGTTGTGTTCGGGAGCCATTGACCCCATTTTCCTCCTCCTTTTACCATGTAGCGCAAATAACCTAAAGGAACTCTGCTGATCTGAGTTGAAGGCTCTGTGACGGTGACAGGCATGGCTCACTCCAGAAACTCATTGTTCCTGTTTCCCATAAACTGCAGTTTCGGCTTAGGTATTAGATATAATTCAAACTCAGGTCACATTTGGGAGCCTTTTACACGGTACAAGCCTCTTTATAAGATTTTAAAGTATATTTGTATTATGGTATATACTTATGGAGAGCGGTTTTCAGCTTTAGACGGTATAGATGATTATCTGGAGTTACCAGAAATGGCCCAGCACAAACTTTGGGCTGGGCCGCATTCCTGAGGGCCCAGCGCATACTTTGGACTGGGCTGCATTCTTTTAGGCCGGCTTTAGCAACAGTTAGTGTAGGGTTTTTCTACCTATTATAGAAATTGAATTAATTTTATTCATAGAAAGTATTGTAGAATAGGGCATGCTAACATCAGGGAATCATGTTAGTTCAAGCATGATCAATCATGATATTTTGAGGTTTAATAAGAATATAGTTAACTTTAGAAATTTCATTGTCTCCATTTTCTACTATTGTGGTTTTGGCCTTAGTACATTTACAGTTTATATTTGGGTTTTATTTTTAGAAGCTTTGTTGCTGATGATCAGCTTTATATATTAGGATCAGGAATTAGAAACTTTCATAGAAATTTGTTAGGAGATTGTAGTCTATTGTTCCAAAAAGTGGCCCACCGTGAACCTTGGACTGGGCCACATCCTGTAGAGCCCAGCGTGATCTTTGGACTGGGCAACATTCTTTAGGAATTGGTTTAAGCTATAATTAAGAGCTTCTGTAGCATTGTGTAAGTAGTATTAGCATAGAATAGAAAGGTAATAAAATTTAAGTTAGTCATCATGGGTGTTGTGTGCACATGAGCTTTAGAAGTTATTGATTATTAGAACAACATGATGCTAGTAGCATTGCTTTTGAAGAACATTAACTAGCATAGGGAACAATAAGACAATTTTGCAGTTTGTCCTTCCTCATACCTGAGAAAACATCTAGTGGGTGGGGGATGCCCCTCATCCACCTGGCTTTGTGTTCACGTGAAAATCTTGTGATTTTGCCTGTGAAATTTTAGGATAAAAGGCTTACGGTTTGTCCCATTAAATCGGCTTCTGCACTAGACAGAGTCCAGTCTCTTTCTTTCTCCCTCCATCTCTTTTTTTCTCTTTCTTTCTCCAGAATAATCACCGACGCTGCCACACCTTCCAAGGGACCTCCTAATCTCTCTGCAGGGGTCGCCCCCCCCCCCCCGCATCATCCAGACTGGAGTGCAGTGGCACGCTCCCGGCCACCACAGCCTCAACCTGTTGGGCTCCAGCAATCCTTCCGCCTTCCAAGTACCTGGAACTACAGGCATGCACTACCATGCCTGGCTAATTTTTGATTTATTGTAGAGATGAGGTCTCGCCAAGTTGCCCAGGCAGGTCTTGAACCGTGGGCTCAGGAAATCCACTCACTTTAGCCTCCCAAAGCGCTGGGATTACAGGCTGAGCCACCGAGCCTGGCTTCTCATTACCCTTTTTTAAAAATATTTTCTTGGTAAGTCTCACTCTGATATTCTTTGTTAAAATTCAAATGAAAGTCTTGTAAGAGTTTGCTTGAATTTGCATTAAATATAGATATTAACGTGAGAATAACTGATGTATGAATAACACTTAGTCTTCCATCAAGGAAGTATTCCCTCTTATGTTCAATAACTTTTTTGCAATCTTCAGTAATATTCTAGTTTCCTTCACAGAAAGCCTAGATATTTCTTTTCCTTAGGGTTTCCTATTTTATAATTAACTTGCTTTAAATAAATAGCTCTTGAATTTATCAGCTTTACAATCTTTCTGTTCTCCAGAGCACCATTTAGATTTTAATTTTTATTATTTTATTTATTCTGCTCTGTTTTATTAATTTTTTTCTTCTAACTTTTGCACTGAATATTTAAATGATTTATTTCCTTATTAAACAATAAAAACACTTAAGGCTATGAATTTTACTCTGAATATAGCTTCAACTGCACATAATTATTTTCAGAAATACAGTTCTAATTTTCAATTACATTATAAACATTCTATAATGGTAGTTTTGCTTTTCTATTTGACTCCATTTTTACTTAGGAAGCTGCATTTTTATTTCCAAATGGCTGGGTAGTTTTAATTAAATTTTTGATCATTATTAGTTTCTATTTTATTACACTCAGGAACAGGGACCTACACAGTTTTTCATTTGGGAAATTTATTGAGTTTTCTTGGTAGCCTGGTATATGGTCAATTAAATTCATTTATTAAATGCATTATCAAAATTCTCTATGCCCCATTTGTGTGTGTGTGTGTGTGTGTGTGTGTGTTTATTTGTGGCCAAGGCTAAGAGGTAGTATTAAAGTCTCTCACAGTGAAAATTTTCTGCCAACTTTTCTTCCTTGGTAGTTTTTCCTCTTACAGTTTGTTTACATACTTTTCCCTGAATAATATATACAGGCCTCCTTGGCCTGAGGTGGTTTAAGATCACTCCTTCCTTCCTCCTTGTGGATCAGCTATGCCATACCTTGCCTTGTGGTAAGCCTGAGAGCTGATGAAATACTTTCACACTCAACCCTTCATTTGGTTCTCATAACAAACCATCAGGTAGACAAGGCAGTTACTGCCATCATCACTATTTCACAGAAGTGAAAACTGAAACGAAACAACTTGCCCAAAGTCACACCACTCAAACCTGTCTTGAAACTCTTAGTCTAGTGCCCTTTTCATCACCCTACTCTGCATAAGCTGAGGTTGTCTCCTTAGCTGGACCACAAATCCTTTAGGCCCGGACTACATTTGTTTCCTTCACAGTCCTTGCATACAGGAGGTCTTCAGACAATGTTGACTAACTGGTCACCCACTGCCTGGCAGCTGTCACCCTCTGCCCCTTGCCTTTTCTGCTTATTTTCTGAGGTCCATACTCTGGGGGTACGGGGTCTTAGTGCCAAGAATGGTGAAACAAACACACAGGACATAGAAAGAGATTTACCGACGTGCAGCGAACAACTGTGATTGAAAGAGTTTCTTCAGCGTCCCTAAAAAAAGAAAGAATAAAGACAAAGATATTTAGTCATTCTGTGTGATACAGATGCACACTCACATGCATGCATGTGGGGTGTGTGTGTGTGCGTGTGTGTGTGTGTGTGAATGTATATCTGTTAGGGTCAAAAAGACTGGCAGAATTATGATAAAGCAGCCTCTTTGGACTCAGCATCTCTAGGTCAGCAAAAGTAAGAAGGATATTGGAGAAAGCAGGAGTCTGCAAAAGAACTTAAGCTGGTCCAGAGAGCTGCTCTACCATGAGGGAATCTTCAGACATTCACCACTACCATCGAGTCTACAGGAACAGCCACTCAGGCACTTAGCCTTAATTTAGTCTAAAACAATGGAGAACTCATCCAGTAGATACTAGCTAGATTTACATCCAAAAAATAAGAGAAAACATGGCAATAAGACAGATAACACAGGTTGCTAACTATAGGAAACAGGCTAAGCATTTCACTAAATAGAATGAATGTCTGTGAATAACATTCATTAGATAAAAGCCAAAGAGTTTATTGTGTTTGGGCACACACAGTTTATGAGGAGCCCAATCATATCATCAAGATACTAAACATTTCTGCCTTGCATTATCTCTTAGATTTCAAACGTGATCAAATCAACCAGATCACAGCCCAACCTACACTTTATATTAGCCGACAGAACAGAGAAATTGAATCCTACTCTCCTTTTTCTTTGCCATTGCTACATAGAAAAGCTGTTTGCAAAACAATTTCATTTGACTTTTTACAATATGAACATTTAGGCCAATTGCTGTTGATGTGTTATTCCCTCAAGTGGATAAACTCAAACTGAGATTTCTAAGTGTCTGGGGACTGGTTCTTTTTCATTTTAAATGAGAACAGATCTTTTCTGAGATAAATCACAATAAACCAAGGTGCAAGTGCTCTCAAAAGGACATTTGGGCCTCACGGATATTTGGAGGCATTGGAGAGGCTTTCTTGGCATTGTTGTTGTGTCATTTTGTTTTGCTTTGTGTTTTTTCCCTTCACAAGTGACAATGAATAATACATGCTGCTTTTAGACACTGGGAGCTAAGCTAGTCCTGGGATTTTGTCGTGCAAAATATGGCAGAGGGCATAGATGCACAGCACACCTCAAGTCACGCATCCCTCCCTGCTCGGAAATCTTTGGTGGATCATCTTTCAGGAGGAGAATGTTGGCATTCCAGACCTCCTGTCATTTCCCAGAACTTTTCTCTAGGCAAACTGAACTGCTCAGCACTCCCTACTTCCCATTCTGTTGCTACTGCTTATCCCTTTGCCTGGATTACCCCTCACCTTCATCTTGGTGAGTCATATTCTACCCAGCATTAAAGATACAGATGAAATACTTCTGGACCTTTCCTTGTTTTATCAACCTACAACTTCCTTCCAAGCTGTAGGAATCTCCAAAATTTACAATTCCTTTTCTCCGCTTCTCTTGATGCAGTGTCTGCCCTCAATCTCAGAGGGTGTGCACGATTTGTACCTGCACTACCAGCCTGTGAGCATCCCGGGGAGCAGAGTCTATTTTTCTGACGGGGTTCTTTGCCCAGAGTGAGTGCTTGGTGAATAGAAAGGGGTTAAATGTTACCCAGGTCAGGCGCAATAGCTCATGCCTGTAATCTCAGCACTTTGGGAAGCAGAGGTGAAAGGATTGCCTGAGTCCAGGGGTTCAAGACCAGCCTGAGCAACTTGGCAAGATCTCGTCTCTACAATAGATCAAAAAATTAGCTGGGTGTGGTTCTGGCTATTTGGAAGGCTGGGGGGAAGGATTGTCTGAGACTAGTAGGTTGAGGCTGCAGTGGCCATGAGCGTGCCACTGCACTCCAGTCTGGGCAACAAAGACTCCTATTCAAAAATAAAAACAAAAAAGTTACCCAAGCACACAAATTCAGGTGTACCGCTTAAAATTATAATATGTTTGTTTATTAGTCAGAGTTTGATCTGGCATGACCGAAATATTAGTACTACTGAAAATCTAAAATCCATTTGCTAAAAGCAACCACATTTGAGAAAACAGCTCCATAAAACTGAGAAAGCAAACTTCATGATTTCCATAATAGTATCTTATTTTTAAATGAAATCATCAAGTCCTTTCCTGGTTGCCCCACCCACTCAACTTATTCTGAAACAATACTGGGCTTGGTTGAAGGAATTCTGTTTTCTACATTTTGATAGATTCTCTGTAAATCTTAAATTAAACTGTGTGTGTATGTCTCCACAGTGAGACTGTGCTTCCTGAGGGTGAAGACTGCATCCTGTATCTTCATTTTCTCTTGCTCTCACTTTGTAGTTATTACTATTCAGTGTGTGTTGTACACTGACTGAATGATACACCCTCGGTAATACCACCCAAGCCAGCTATGATGGTATGTGCCTGTCGTTCCAGCTACTCAGGAGGGTGAATCATCGGAGCCCAAGTTTGAGGCCACCCTGGCTAACATGGTAAGACCCCCTAACACACACACACACATACACACACACACACACACACACACACACACACACACACACACACAAGAAAAAGAAAAAGAAAAAGAGAAAAAGAAATTAATACCACTCCAAAGCCAGATCATCCACTCACAAAAAGATACAAACTAAAGTACATTTGTATCTTTAAGTAGTTTTCACTTTATTTCTCATCTCTCTTTATATTAGTCATCAGTGTTGATTGAAAAATCTAAAAGTCAAAACCTGCATGTGCCTAAAAAAATGTCTGCTAGTCCTCCTCACTCCTATCACTGACATTTCTCCATCTTAAAGCCAGGTTGCTAATTCCCAATGCAAACCATGTTCACTCATTCAGCTGAGTATCCACTGAGCCCTAGTCTCAGGAGATCATGGTTTAAGTAGAAGGAGAGGCATGTGGCCAGGTGCGGTGGTTCAAGCCTGTAATCTCAGCACTTTGGGAGGCTGAGGTGAGAGGATTGCCTGAGTCCAGGGGCTCGAGACCAACCTGGACAACTTGTTGAGACCTCATCTCTATAATAAATCAAAAATTAGCCAGGTATGGTGGCACATGCTTTTAGTTCCAGCTACTTGGAAGGTTGAGGTAGAAGGATTGCCTGAGCCCAGCAGGTTGAGGCTGCAGTGGCTGTGAGTGTGCCAATGCACTCCAGCTTGGGCAACAGAGTGAGTCTTCAACTCAAAAAAAAAAAGGAAAAGAAAAAGAGAGGTGTTTACATAAATCACAATGGCGCCAGGTAGAAGGTAGAAGGTGCTGTATCAGTGAAACTCCATATGCACCACCCGGGCTGCAGCTGCAAGAACACTTCAGAAGAGACATCAAAAGGGTTAAAGAGGAACAAGCAGATTTGGCATCAACTAAGTTCAGTTTCTGGCATGTGTTACAACAAGCCTGTGATCCTTAGAGGACAGGGCCTATGCATTATTATAATTATGTTTCTGGCAGGGGTTGACAAATAAAGCACTCTCTTCTGTAGGCAGGTGAAAGAACACAGACGGTAACAGCACCACTAAAAAGCCATTTTTTTTTTTTTTTTGAGTTGGGGTCTCACCTCTGTTGCCCAGGCTTGACTGCAGTGACAAAATCACATCTCACTGCAGTCTCAAACTTCTGGGCTCAAGCAACCTCCTGCCTCAGGCTGCTGGGTAACTGGGACTACAGTGCCACCACACCCAGTTAATGTTTTGAATTTTGTGTAGATATGAGGTCTTGCTTTGTACCAAGGCTGGTCTCAAACTCCTGGGTTGAAGCGATCCTCCCACTTCAGCCTCCCAAAGTGCTGAGTTTACAGGCATGAGCCGCCATACCTGACCTGAAAAGCCATATTAATAGACAGAATTGGAACTTGAAAACGAAGCTGTTCTTGCTGCTTTAAAGGAGACTCGACCTTATAACAATCACGGGACCAGTTATGCCATTCCTGTTGCCCATCTCAGCTTCATGATAATCTGTGCATCCCTGTGAATGATGGAAGACCATTTAATACCTCAGAATATCGACTGCTCGTTCACAGGAAAGGGCTTCAGCGGGCTCATTGTTCATTTGCAGGATCTGATCACCGGGGAAAAGCTTGCCATGAGCGGAACCTCCTGTTGGACAGAAAATAAGTCACTGGTACTTGTGCCAGGAGGGTCTAGACTTTATGTGTCACAGTGGTACAGCTAAATGGCAGCCTGATCCGGTCTCCGGGGCACTAGCTCACCCTCCACCCTCAGCCAGGCTTGCACTCATGTGGATCTTAGTTTTCCGGTTTATAAACCATGAATAATGTACCTATCATCCATCAACTTCAAGGGATGTTAGGAAACTGTCCTGAGAAAGAAAACTAGCAGAAATCTAAATCAACAGAGAGCTGGCTGATGTACCCACTACATACATTTGTCTCTGAAGAACTCTGGTGTGTGTGTGTATGTGTATGCAAGTTGAAATTAATATATTCTAACTAATCCCAGATCTAACATCAATACTCAGCTCAAGTATAAAAACAAACACTAGATTTTCCCAGCCTGCTCCTCTCCTCCCCAGTACAGCCTATATTTCACAAAGATTCAAGAGAAAACAAATCAATAGTGTCTATTATAGTCTGACCAGAAACTCTCCCCAGCTAACAACATGCAGGGTTCAAAGACTTATCCAAATACTTTCACTCACCCTGAGACTGGCTAGGGAACCATGGGTGGGAAAAGCCCTGGCAGAGGCCAGTGGGAGTCTTCAGAGCAGCAAGCGCATCTGGGCTCCCTCCTTCCCAGCACCAACGGAAGGTGCAAAGCCCAAGGCAGAATTAGGTGAGAATCGGGTGTGCCTTTTCTAACTTCCTGGGGTGGAGTTTTCTGCATTTTGTTAGAGGACAGAGAGAAGGGAGGAGAACCAGGGCTATTTCCCCCCACGAAGCCAAACTCCTTTCTCATTTCCCAGTCAGCCCCTACCTGCTGTGACGGCCACCACTGTGAGGGGAAGGCTCTCGGAAATGTGAAATCCATAGTTCTGAAGGAGGGCATCTTTGTCTATCTTTAGTGTGTGCCTCACAGGGGTGAGGGTCTGGCTTGGGTTCCCGGGGGGCCCATCAGCTGCAGAGACTTTAGCCCTGGAAGAGAAGGAGTAGGTGAAAAAGAGAGAGGGAGAATTCCAGTGTGGTCACAAACTGGGTCAGCCCCAGGCATCATGGAGCAAGATGCAGAGCTGAGCAGACACCTACTCTCCTCTTGAGAGGGATAAGACACAAACACCACTAGTTAAAACGCCAAGCAGAACGTAGCATCATGCTCTAAAAGAGAAGTCATGGGACGTTAATGAGCACTCAGAGGAGGGAGAGAGCAGTTTTAACTCTGCAGGGCAGGGAATAGGGAATCAGGAAAGCATCTGCTACCTGGAAGAGGTGGCATTTGAGCCACACCTTGAGAGGTGTCTAGGGTATACCTACACAACCCAGATCCTGGCATGCAGAAGATACTCAATAACTGCTGCTGAATCAATGGATCAATGGATGGATGGATGGATAGACTGACGGAAGGATGGACAGATGAACATTCCAGGCAGGAGGCACTGCTTGGGCAGCGGTACAGGAGAGGAAAATCACAATGAACACGAATGAGATGTCGTTGGGTTTGGATGTTTGATTTTACAGATAGATTGTTTCTCTAGGTATTTTTTTCTTTTGTTTTATGATGAATTTTGCTCTCCTTTAAGCTTTGTAACTGTGAAGAATCCAATATATAATTCCAAATAGCAAGGATACCCTCTATACTAATCTCTAGAAACATATATGTTGTTTATGATCTAAAAGCAGATAAGTTGAAAGTTGTATTTTCTGTGTCTCAAAATCACAAAGCGCGTCACACACTATTTTTATTTTTCATTTGTCTATGGCAAATGACTTTTCCCCTCTAAAAGTCAGTGGTTCTTTCTGAGGAAGGTCAGATAGTGATGGGATGAGGTGTTCATCGTCATTACAAATAACAGAAGTGTGAAGGAGTCACAGTTCCCTTGGGGCTCTGCATTTTAGGTCTATCATTATTCTCATCCATTTACCAAGCACTGTCTGGAACACTGCCGAATGCCACAGAATGCAATTATCTGAAAATCACCTCTCTCTCGTTTAGAATGATCTCAAACTTCAACAAGGATCAGGAAATATGAAAAACTGTCTCATGGAGCCAAAAGGCAAATGATAAGTCCAAGTACAAAGCCTTGTGCACCTTATCCATTGAGAAGCCCCTCAGGCCTTGGCTTAAAGCAGATTTTGGCTCTGTCTGAATGACCCGACCCACACAACTTAGAAGCAGAGGGAGAATTTCTTCTAGGCAGCCATGTGGGTAATTCTGAGAAAGGTTAGCAGACAGACCTAACAAGAGGGAAGAAACAGAAAACTGTGAACAATTACACTGACTAAAACCCTGATTTAAAAAAAAAAAAAAAATCCTTTAAAGCTATGAAAGGGCCTTTCTAAATACAATAAATAATATACTCTATACTGAAAGTCAAAAATCAACATTTGTGTTATTTTAAAAAAGTAACAGGATAAGGATACCCTACACACAACTTCTATTTAATGTAGAAGGGGAAATGTTTATAATAGTTATCAGGAAAGGAAAAACAACAAGAAGAACAAGCATAGGAGTGGAAAAGTACCACCTTTTTTTTTTCTTCCCACAGATGATGACATTCACACAGAAAATGATGAAGAGAATTTCTACTGCTAAAAAATAAGTTTACTGGAGATACAGGATAAAAACATAAAACAGTCACAAAAAGCATTCTACAATTCATTAAAAGCAGATTAACTGAATGTACATTAAGTGCCAGGCATCCTTAATGAGCTAATGCTAACTATCTAGAAAATACCACGAAAGGATTCAAGTAACAAAATTAGTGGTAAGTATTAACTTAATTCAGAGTAAAAGAGATTTACTTAAAGAGAATAATATGACTTTCCTTGAAGCAATAAAGGAAGACACAAGTTATGGCAACAGTTATGGTGGGCTCCTGGTTGGAAAGACTAAATATTGAAAAATAAAAGTAAGTTCTAATTAAATATAGATTTAATGAAAACTCCTTCCTTTTTTTTAAAAGCTTGACAAATTGATGGTACCCATAGCAATAACAACAATAACAATTAGCAACATTTATGAGTACTAACTATATATTAGGGAGTGACCTAACTTATTTTGATAAATATCTCACTCAACCCTCAAAACAAACTTGTGAAGTGGGTATGTTTATATGTTTATCCCTATTTTATAGATAAGGAGACTAAATTCTGCTCTCTTAGATTTTTAACGGGCTTAAAGTGACACAGCTGGGACACAGGTTTCAAATTAGGGTTACTTTCTTCAACAGGCACTATAGTCCAAATTCTAGAGCACTGCTGTCCAAATGAAATATAATGCATGCCACAAATGTATATTTAAGTTTTCTAGTAGCCACATGAAAAAAGAAAAGAAAAAGAAATACATAAAATTAATGTATTAATTTTAATAATATATTTTTACTAAATTCAATATATCCAAAATATCATTTCAATGTGTAATTCATACAAAAATTCTTTTTTTTTTTTTTTTTTTTTTGAGTAGGGGTATTACTCTGTTGCCCAGGCTGGGGTGCAATGGCATAATCACAGTTCACTGTAGCTTCAACCTCCTGACCTCAGGCGATCCTTCTGCCTCAGCCTCCTGAGTAGCTGGGACTACAGGAGTGTGCCACCATACCTGGCTACTTTTTAAATTTTTTTGTAGAGATGAGGTCTTGCTATGTTGCCTAGGCTGGTTTTGAACTCTTGGACTAAAGCAATCCTCTTGTCTTGGCCTCTCAAAGTGCTAGGATTACAGGTGTGAGCTACCACCGCATCTGGCCTCAAAAATTATTGATGAGGTATTTTACACTCTTATTTTCAAATGAAGTCTTTAAAGTCTGGTGTGTATTTTACATTTACAACACATATCAATCTGGACTCTATATTTTCATCAGAGAGTCTTAGATTTCACAAAATTTCCAGTTGAAAAGTAAGTGCTCCTATCAGACAGAGGTAATGATCAAAACTATACGGTGTGACCTTCACCAATGAAACTGAATTCAAATCCTAGAAAATATTTTAAATGTTTTGTCAGTTTCTGAAAACACTAAACACGGGGTACAACATGATCCAGCAATTCCACTCCAGGGTATATCTACCCAAGAGAAATGAAAATATGTGCATACACAAAAACTTGCACATGAATATTTATAGCAGCATTACCCACAACAGTCCAAAAGTGAAAGCAACTCAAATGTCTATTAACTAATGACAGAATGTTTGGCAACAAAAAGCCATGAAATACTGAATACATACTACAACATGAATGAATCTTGAACACATTATGCTAAGTGAAAGCCAGGCACCACCACATATTGTATGATTCCATATATATGAAATATCTAGAACAGGTTAATCTACAGAGACAGAAAGTAGATTAGCGGTTGCCTAGTGCTGGGGAAAGGGAGGTTTGGGAGGAAATGGGGAATCATTGCTAAAAGGTATGGGTTTTCTAAAGGGGCAATGAAAATCTTCCAAAATGGACTCTGGTGATGGTGGTACATCTCTGTGAATACACTGAGTTGTACATTTTAAATGGGTGAATTGTATGGTATGTAAATTACATATCAATAAAGTAATTGAAAATAAGTAAATAGGGCCATTGCCTTGCTAGACTCTGGTGTGGCCATGTGCTCTTTAAGCTATAGCTGTATCCATGCTTCCATCTTTGGCCCCCTCCCCCACCTTGGGGAGGTAAATCTTCTCTCTCCCTTCTCTTTCTCTCTCTAATTTACTTTTAAATAAACTATATTTTTTAATCTAAAAAAAAAAGAAGTAAATCAATTTTAAAAATAGTATTGGGGGAGCTTATAATACAAATATATAAAGAATGGGCATAAATACATATGGTAAATACCCAGATTTCACATGCTCAAAGTAAGTGAATTAACAATTCTCACATGAAGAAGGAAAGCTGATAAATAACAGAAACAATGTACAACCTTATCAATTAAAAAAGCACAACTGAAAGGGCTACAGAGTACAGTTGTATGTCTACTATAGTACCAAATATGAATTTAAAATAATTAGGCCCAAGATGTATTAGCCCTAGGATTAAAGGATGACAGTATAACTTGGCTATTCTATCTCTCTCAGCCTGTAATCCTGTGCTTTGGGAGGTTGAGGTAAGTGGATTGCCTGAGCCTGCGGGTTCGAGACCCACCTGGGCAACTAGGCGAGACCTCATCTCTACAATAAAAAAAAAAAATCAGCCGGGTGTGGTAGTGCGTGCCTGTAATTCCGGCTACTCAGAAGGCTGAGGTGGAAGGATTGCCGGAGCCCAGCAGGTTGAGGCCAAAAAGCCATGAAATACTGATACATGCTACAACATGAATGAATCTTAAACACATTATGCTAAGTCTGGGCGACAGAGTGAGACTCCAACTCAAAAAAAAAAAGGAAAAGAAAAGAAAACAATCGGGGAAATAGTATTATGACTTAAAAATCTGATCATTCTCTTTGACCTTCTGTTACCATTTTGACTGGTATTCCTCAAAGTAATGACCCCAAAGGGAAAAAAATGATACTGCTTATGCTAGACTATGAGTTCCTAGAAGACTAGGGTGGCATCTATTCATTTGGTGTACCTTGTACCTAGCAAAGCTCTAGAACAGAGTATGAGCTCAAAAGACCCTGGCTCTTGAGTATTGAAAAATATCAGTTACAGCTTTTTTTGGAATGGTGGAAAAACTAGATACAATGTAAGAGGGAAGAGATAAACCAAACTTAACAAATTACCCCCAATATTCTACAAAGTATCACAGGCCTACAGCCTTCACACATACAAGGAAACACAGTTCAGAACATGTCCTTCCAGAGCATCCTATAAGCTGTTGTTGAAACTCCCTTCCTAAGTGATAGGGAGGATTATTCTGCTCTCCACAATTCCCTGACACCCACAGAACAAAAGTCAAACTCCTTGACCTTGACCTCACAAACTGTATCTTCAGGCCTCAGTCCCTGACCAGCATCCACCCACCTACTCCCTCTCCCTAGGCCTTCACTCCAGATTAATT